AGAACCAATTACCCCTGGAAACGTATGCAGAGCCCTTGTACCTTGAACCCTCTGTGCCCCAAACTGAGCTCACCATTTCCTCCACCCCCCAACGTCTGCTCCTTCCTTGATGTATACTATATTAGTTAGGGCTGTCCAGAGAAACAGAACCAATGCAATATGAAGAGAGAGAGAGACAGAGAGACTTGTTTTCAGGAACTAGTTCAAGTGATTCTGGAGGCCAGCAAGCTGGAGATGTAGGGAAGAGTTAATGTTGCGCTTGAGTCCAAAGCAGTCTGGAGAGAGCACTCCTTCTTCCTAAAGCGACTTCAAGTCTCTTTTCTTACCACCTTCAAGTGATGCGGTGAGGCCCCCCCACAGTAGGGAGGCAGATCAGCTTTACTCAGCGTCTACTGATTTAAATGGTGATCACATCTAAAGAATACCTTTGCAGCAATATCTAGACTGGCTTTTAGCCCAAACCCAGGTACCACAGCCTAGCCAAGTTGCCGGAGGAAATTACCCTTCACACATAACACCTTGCAAAACGGCACCACCATCTAACTGATGCCTAATCCAGGATCCTGGGAATTTGCCCTGACTCCTTATGTAACCGTAAGTCCATACCAAGTTCTGCTTACTCACCTTCTGACATATTTCTAACCCATCCCTGTCACAGACGTCCTGGCCCCAGGGCCCCATCACATCTGAGCTACTACCAGAGCTTCAGCCCTGCACTCTGCCCTCGCGGCCTCGCCTGCCTCAAACCCTCGCTAGACACAGTGAGGAGTGAATTTGCTCATCTGTACATTGGACTGCGCTGATTTCTGGTTCCAGACTCACCAGCTGCCACAAAGTCTGACACAAGCCTGATCCCGTGTTGACTCAGATACCATGAGTGGTGTTATTGGTGTGTGCTTTTCCAGAATGCAGAACGGGTGGTAAATTTCTACACGAAACAGAGTACAATCGTTCCTCAATTTACACGGCAGTTAACGTTTCTAGAAAATTCAATTATATGAAAACTGTACTATCTGAGTCTGCTTGGGCCGCTACAACAAAATACCCTAGACTGGGTGGCTTACACAACAGGTGTCTATTTCTCATGGTCGTGGAGGCCAGAAGTCCAAGATAAATATGCCGGCCAGTGGGTTCCTGGTGAGAGTTTCTTTCTCTTCTTCTAAGGGCACTAATCCCATCATGAGGGCTCCATAGTTCCTTGCAGTGCGTTCACTCTGGGGGACACTGACTGAATCCTCCCCAGTGAGATCAGGAACCTCGGAGGGCTGCCATACCCAAAGACATAGCTTAGCCACGGTGTCAAAGGAAATTACCCATCACACACAACACCTTGGAAAATGGTACCACTAGCTACTGTTCCCCAGCACGCACTTGACCCTCGGTGGTCAAGTCTGGGCAGTTTGATAGGCTCTCGCCAGCTTCTTATGAGCTGCCTGCCCTCTTGGGCCACTCCCCTAGAAGATCAGGGTTTCTTGGGAACCCCTCAGCTCCCCACGCTCATAGTCCTCCCAACGGAAGGCTGTGTGACATTGGGAGAGTCAAGGTATGTGAGAAAACAGTGAGGTTGGGGGATTTTTAAAAATGAATCCACATTTGCACAGTAGCTCACTAGATGAGATTCAATAACACTCATGCAAAATTAACTCATTGCCACAGTATTATCTCAATAGACTTTAGGGATCGCTTGGTCCATCAGCATGTTCTGGATAAGAAAGATATTTCAAATCCCCTCACTTTTATTTGTCTTTCCCTTCGAGCCCTGGTGGCACCCATTTCTCAAGCAAGCTTGGGCGATGGTCTGGGCTCCACAGGACTGCAGCTGCCCCAGGACCTTGGTACCTTACTCATAAAGAGCCTGGTAGCGTGAAGGAGGGACAGAGCCAAGCCCTAGAGAATATTGCTAGTCTAAGAGTAAAAGAGGAAGGAAATGACTCATTCTGAGAATCAGAGGTGGGGAACGAAAAGTCATGTGCATATGGCTTAGTGTCAGAGCTGAGGTTAGTATGAAGGAGGCAGGGCCCCTTTGTCACACTGGGCCAGAAAATGCCAAAATGCCAAGACTGCAACACCCTGAACTATTAGCAGAGAGATTTTGCAGCTGAGCCGGAAGCAGCAACCCCTCCATGCCCCATTTCTCTCCACCTGCCTGGGCTGCAGAAGGCAGCTACATGCAGAGGGAGAGAGAAACCAAGTGTGGTCAAACCATGGTTTAGTCAGAGTCTCGGGGTGGGGGTGGGGGAACGTGTGGGGGAGGTGCGGGGATTGGCCCTCACTGTCCTCACATGTGCAAGTTTGAGCAAGAGCTCATGGCTTATAATGGGCACAGCCATTAGCAACCTCAGCCAGGACCTGCCAAGAGGAAGCTAGAGCTGAACATTTGGCCTCAGAAGTAAACTTGGCTAATGACACGTTCATGCTGGAGTTGAGACCAGATCCTGTTCTCCAGGCCCCTGATTTGGTGTTCTTTCCAGTGACCCCCTGGAAGAGTAGAAAGGTGAAGGAGTATGGATCTTATGAAGGGAAGGATCGAGTTCACTAGGACGCTCTTCAGCCCAGAGAAATGCCTTCACTGGGTCACCTCTCATCATGAAGCCTTTGTTCTACGAGGGTATTTCACATCTAGAATGTTCTTTCTCCACAAACCTCCTTCATGACCCTTTCCGCTTATCTCATTAGCAGATTTTGCCACATATTTCCTATAAAAAGCATACTTCCTGCAAAAAGCCACATGTCAGATAAACTCTTACCTTCTGCCTTCAAATCTGCCCACTCTTTCTGTCTTCCTTTCTCCTTTTACAAAGGACAAAAGGTCCCTGCTCCTATCTAAAACCAGCCCCCTCAGTGTTCTGGATTCCCCTCCCATCTCAAGACTTACTATAAAACTACAATAATCGAGACAGTGTGGTATTGGGGAAAGAATAGACAAACAGATCAATGAAATAGAATAGAGGGCCCAGAAATAGAGCCACACAAATATAGTCACGTGATCTTTGCCAAAGCAGCAGAGAGAGTTCCACTGGGGAAAGGACAGTCTTTCCAACAGACGGTGCCGACGCAGCTACATATTCAAAACAAAACAGAAGAACAAAAAAGAAAAGGAAGGAAAAGGAAAAAGAAGCTAGCTATAGACCTTGCGCCTTTCACAAAAATTAACTCAAAGTAGATCACAGACCTATATATATGAAATGCAAAACTTTAAAGCTTTTCGGGGCACCTGGGTGGCTCAGTCGTTAAGCGTCTGCCTTCGGCTCAGGTCATGGTCCCAGGGTCCCGGGGTCGAGCCCCGCATCGGGCTCCCTGCTCTGCGGGAAGCCTGCTTCTCTGTCTCCCACTCCCCCTGCTTGTGTTCCCTCTCTCGCTGTGTCTCTCTCTGTCAAATAAATAAATAAATAAATAAATAAATCTTAAAAAAAAAAAAAACTTTCAAGCTTTTCTAAGATAACACAGGAGAAAATTAAATGACCCTGTGTTTGGTAGTAACTTTTAGATACAAAACCAAAGACACAATCCATGAAAGAAAAAATGAGTAAGTTGGACTTCATTCAAATAAAAACTTCTGAGCTGTGAAAGACACGATTAAGATAATGTAAAGGCCAGGTACAGATTGGGAGAAATATAGTTCTGCTATACTATATATGGTATCTATATATACTAGTATATATGTAGTGTGTATATATATATATATGCCGTATATAGAGTATATAGTATGTGTATATACTATATATAGTATTTCTCTTGGAACTATACCAAGCCTTTACAATTCAACGGTGGTTATTTTTATCCCTGTTTTATTGATTGGAGAATTAGGATCAGAGCGTTTTATGGAACTCGTAAGTGGGGGACCCAGGAGAAAACCCATTCTTTCATTCTTTCATTCATTCATTCATTCACTCATTCATTCATTCGTCGCATTTTTAGAGTGCATGAAAGGTCCTCGGCGTGGTTCCAAACGCCACGCGCTGTTCTAGCCCCTGAGGATCCCGCAGTAAACAAAAAGCCGGAACCCCTGGTCCCTTCCCCTACTCGGGAGGGGAGGGTGCGGGGGGAGTGGTGAGAGCCGACTCCACCAACGTCAGTAGAAACCAGTCGGTGCTCCGCCCCCGGCGCGCGCCCTGGGTCCCAACAGCCGCCGGAGGCCGGCGCTCGGCGCGCGCGTCCACAGCCCTCCCTGCGGCCCCCCGGCGGGAAGGAAGGCCCGCGGCTCGACCCGGTGTCCTCCCCCGCGGAGTGTGCGGTCCGCGCCGGGGCCCTCGGCCCGCTCCGCCCGCCCGCGCCCGCCGCCAAAGCGGCCGGGGCCGCCCGCAGCGCGCATCCGGGAGGCTGGCGCCTGGGCCGGAGGCCGAGGGGCGGCGGCCGGCGGCCCGGAGGCTGGCACCCCCGCGGGGAGCGGCGAGGCGACCTGCCGAGGTAAAGGGGCCGGCGGGGGCGGGGAATGGGACCGCTGGTGCGCCTGACCGCTCGGCCAACGCCGCCTCCCGGCAGCGCTTCCCGGAATCCCCCGCAGGCTCCCCGCCTCCCGTGGACTCCGCCTCCGGCCTCGCGGCTCCCTCCCCGCGGGGCCTCCGCCCCCTTCACTCCCTCTGCACCCCGCCCCCCCTCCCCACCCCCACCCCCACCCCGGCGGCTGTGCGGGTCGACCCGGGCGTCCCCCGTTGTCCCCCGCTTGCTCCGCTCCTCGCCGCCCCCGGGAGCTCTCGGTCTTGGCACCCCGTTCCCACCGAGGATGCGCGGGACACCGGGCACTGGCGGCTGCGAGACGTGAGCCGTTGTGAAATGTGAGGGTCAAAAGCCTCAAGATCCCCTCGGCGTTGCAAAACTGGGTTACCCGCTCGGGCCTCGGGGTCGGGGTCCGCGGCGCGCCCTCCGAGAGAACACCTGGAGTTCCACCAGCCTTTGTGGAACAGGGTCCCCGCGGGCCGGGGGGGCTGGGGTGTCCGGCGTCCTTCCGGACCCCTCGCTTGGAAGCTGGGGTGGGGGGGAGGGAGAGGAGACAGAGGAGCATCCCTGCTCCGGGGCTGGGCCACAAGGGGAACCCGGTGCCAGTCGATGCTGGAGTTTCGACCGGGAGAAATCGGCCAGTTAAAGCATCAACACACTTAGGTGGTTAGCGGCGGCTTTATTGAGCAACTCTCGGAATCCCGGCTCATTCATTCATTCATTCATTCATTCATTCATTTGATTTTATTTACCCATTTGACGAGAGAGAGAGCACAAGCAGGGGGAGCGCCTGGCAGAGGGAGAAGGAGAAGCAGGCTCCCCAGGGAGCAGGGAGCAGGGAGCCGGATTCGGGGCTGGATCCCAGGAATCTGGGATCATGACCTGAGCCCAAGGCAGACGCTGAGCCACCCAGGCGCCCCTCATTTTTTTCTTTTAATATTTGTTTGATTTCCTTGCTTTTGTTTGGGAAGAAGTCTAAAAGCTAGTATAACAGGCCAGAGGGGTCGGATCTGAGCCAGACTGAGCAGGGAGGTGCAGAAGCAGGCTCAGGGAACCTGGAGTCCAGCCACGCTCCCCAGGCATCCTACTGAGCCTGGCGGCTGAGATACTCAGGCCATGCCCTGTCCCACACCTTGGCAAAGTTTCTAAGTACCCTCCCTTCCTCTCAACTTGCTGTTCAGGTTTGGGGAACAAAGCGGTGGAAACAGAGGCCACACCGAAATCTGCCCTAAAGAAAACCATTTTTTAAACTCTCCTAGCCGTTTGGGCTTCGTTGATAAGGTTTGACCTGTTTGTTCCAGGAAACGGCTTGAACTTTCAAGTTCTTTTTTTTTTTTTTTTTTTAAAGATTTTATTTATTTATTTGAGAGAGAATGAGAGAGAGCACATGAGAGGGGGGAGGGTCAGAGGGAGAAGCAGACTCCCTGCCGAGCAGGGAGCCCGATGCGGGACTCGATCCAGGGACTCCAGGATCATGACCTGAGCCGAAGGCAGTCGCTCAACCAACTGAGCCACCCAGGCGCCCGAACTTTCAAGTTCTATAGTTCACAAGCTGGCTTTCCATTTTTTTAAAACGTCAAAAATCTGCATGGCTCTTTTATTCTTACCCAAATTTCCTCTAAAGTTCCTCATGTATTTATTTAAAAATTAAAATCTCCCTGAAATTTGGTTCCTGTGATTTGACAAACGGTAATTTGTCTAAAAAAAAAAAAAATTAAAGGGATGCCTAGGTGGCTCCGTAGGTTAAGCATCTGCCTTCAGCTCAGCTCGTGATCCCAGCATCCTGGGATGGAGCCCCTCATGGGGCTCCTTGCTCAGTGGGGGGCCTGCTTCTCCCTCTCCCTCTCCCTCTGCCTGCCGTTCACCCTGCTTGTGCTCTCTCTCTCTCTGACAAATAAATAAAATCTTAAAAAAAATTAGAACCACAACCCCAGAGATAGTCTTAGAGGTGACACTTTTATTAAAATATATATTTCATCCCTCCCACTTGCACTCAGAGCTGGATTAACTCATTTTCCTGTTATATTTACAAACCTTCAAGCTACTGAAGAATCCATGGCATTTATCTTTTTTGACAACAGTCATCGTATGTCACCAAAACTAAAATGCCAAGATGCACTTTTATTTTATGTAACCAAGTAAGAAAAACACACATTCTGATTTCAGAGATGTTGTGATATAAGAAAAAAATGTGCATTTTATAATCTGTAAAATGTAATCTGAGCAGAAGCAGAGCCTGACAGTATTTTCCCTGAGGACTCTTCATTCCTTTCAAGAGTGAAACTGGTTGGTATGCAATTCAAGAAGAATAAAGGAAAACTAGTTAGTTGAGAGAGCTGGTGGGCTGAAGTAAGAGTCCTGAGAAGAGGAAAAAAGATACAGAGTAGTTGAGAGCCACTGAACATTTTCTCCAGAGCGAGCAGGAAAATGAGGACACTTAGTTTCCCCATAAGCCCAGGTACATGGGAAAGAGAATTGTAAGCACTGTTCTTGTTCTTGTTGTTTTAATTATGAGGGTTTTTTTAATATATAGTTAAAATTTGGGGCACCTGGGTGGCTCCGTGTGTTGAGCATCTAACTCTTGGTTTCGGGTCAGGTCCTGATCTCAGGGTTGTGGGATCGAGCCCCAAGTGGGGCTCCGAGCTCAGCACAGAGTCTGCTTGGGATTCTCTCCCTCTTCCTCTCCCTTGCCCCCTCCCTCTCTCTCAAATAAATAAATAACATCTTTAAATATATTTAAAATTTTAGTGTACCCCCCACCAGAAACCATACTGGTGAGTCAACAACAATCTTAAAAAGGCTCCCTAATAAACAGGACCTTGGCATACTTGACTTTCTCCTTCTCTGACAAAGGGGCAGTGGTCAGAGGCCATGAGATGGGGAAAGTCAGCTGGGCGAGTGGGAGCAGAGACAGCCAGTGCCAGAATCAGGAGAACCAGCCAGAGGCCCAGTGGTTGACCAACCCTCCCTCACCTCTCCACCAGAGGCAGGGAACAACATCTTCCAGGAGAAAGCAGGGCCCGGGTATCCTGACATCTGGCTCTCCCTTGACTGAGCTCCCCCCATCCCAGAGCCAGTCCTTCAGGCTCGGGAAACTGCCCAGTCTTTACAGAACAAACTGGAATCAGGTGTGGAAGTTAAGGAGGCAAGGAGGTTAAGATTTCACTCCACTGTATCACAGTAACAGATGACAAAGCCATCCAAGTACCAGCAAGGTGACCAGAAGTGGTTGGGGGAGGGGAGAGGGTAGGGAGGAGGAAAGGAAGAGAAAAAAAATGACATAGCTTGCAAGGAGTCTTACTAAAAAAATCATATGACTCCTGGGTTAGGAGAAAATTTCTTCCAATAGCCTTATATCCTACAACTTGATAAAAATATGAGTTCAATAGAATAAACTCAAAGACGAGACTATTTTAAAGTGGGATGGAACAGGAGATTGCAGACTTAAGGGGGTAAATTGAGCACCATGGGAACATAATCACAGAAGTCAGAAGTAAGAATAGATGCTGCTGAAAGTAAAAGCATTTTTAATAGAGAAAAGGTTTGATTCAAGCCAGTGAATGCAAATGAAAAGAAAGATCAAGTTAATTAGGAAGAATCTGATGTGGAAGATAAACAAAGCACGACCAAGCATTAGGATAACTGGGATCCCTGAGATACAGAAACCAACAAATGGGACAGAAAATGCATGTAAAGGTAAGAGAAAAGAAAATTTCTTGAAATGAAGAAAAAATGGTCTCTAGGCCAAAAGAACATTTTCCAGGAAATTGCCACCTTCCAGGAGATTTTCCTATGGGAATGCTCAGCAGCAAGATACCTAAAACGATTTAAAAAATGTTTTAAAAGGACAGAATTATTTAGGAATCCAAGAAGAAAAAGTAAACAAAAGAGGGGCAAACCAAATCAAGCTGGCCTCAGACTCTCTAGTGCTTAAATGCTAGAGTATGGGGGTGCTGAGAAGTGTTCTAAGTGGAGGACACTGTCCCCAGGAGGGCATTTTATCCAGCTAAGATGTCATTCGAGGTAAAAGTCAATTGACAGACCTTCTCAAATATGAAAGAGCCAAGGGAATTCAAGACCCAATGAGCCCTCTTTGGGGAAAAACTGCTGGATTAGAAAAATCCAGCAAATTAGCAAATTAAAAGAGAAATCAAAATAAAGAACCCAAGCGTAGAGAACTCATGCTCGAAAGGATTGTTGGTGACTATTGATTGAAATGCAGAATTAATGCCAGACAGCTTTGGAATTGTAGGTAGAATAAAATGTGATTATTATATCAATCTAGACATGATAAACAATAAAGCAAAAAAAAAAAAGAAAGAAGGAGGTAGGGAGGAAGATGGGAGGAAAAGGAGAAGAGTAAATTTCTCTAGTTTGAAAGCATGGATCAATAAATATGGTTTAATAGTAAAAGATGCTGTGAACAGATAATCCCCCAACTTCCTAATTCTTCTTCTATAACTTTTTTTTTTTTAAACATTAGTAGGCTATCTTAGGAAGTTATTCTTTCCTAAAGAGAAAAATAATTCAAGTTGCCACAATTCCTTCAGGTTTTTTTTTTTACCCCAAGTACAGTTAAATTTAGACAGAAATGCTGTCTGTGTGTGTGTGTGTACGTGCATGCATGTGCACGCATGCATGTGCATAGAAAGATCTCTGGGATTATGTTCACCTGTTAATGATGGAAATATCTGGATGCTGGAATTTGCACTTTTATACATTCTTAATTTTTTTAATGAGCACACAGAAGAAGTGCTACAGAAACAAGAAAGACATTTGAAACATCAACTAAAAACAAACATGCCAAGATATTAACAATGGTTGATGCTGGGCGGCAGAAATAAGGATGCTTGTTACTTTCTCCTTTCTACTTTTTTGTAATTTTTTCCTAATTTCCGGGGGGGGTGGAATTACATAATTGCATTTGTGTAATATTTCTGAATCCAGTCCATTCATTACTCATTGGCGACCAAAGAGAGACCCTTATGTTCTCCACCAGGAGACAGGGAGGCAGGCTCCCTGAGGGCTGTCTGTCTGTTTAGGAGGAGTTGGAATTCAGGCAAGCATTACTTCACCCCATAGGGTCCAACTGAGCAGAGTCCTGAAAATCAGCCATGTTGAGGGATCAGAGACAAGGGTCGCTCCAGGAGGAATGGGGAGGAGAGCCAGAGCTGGGTGAGAGGCACCCCGAGCTGGGTGCTTGTGCAGGGCATTGGCTCCTGGGAAAGCTGGGGAGGCTGAGGACAGCCTTGAATTCAACCCAGGGCGCTTGATGCCTTGTTAGAGGACAGTGAGCCACAGACCGTGCAGGGCCTGGAGCAAAACAGAAATGCAGAACCCCCATGTTTACAGAGCAAGAGGTACAACTGAAGGCCCTAAACTATAAAGCTGTTTCTTGTCTTCCATTGTCTCTGTCTCTCAACTTGTCACTTGCATATTTACCGTTTAATGTCGTCCTGAGTAAAAAAAAAAAAAAAAATTACATTAATAGGAATTTCCCCCATTCTACTTTATATTGTGCAAAACCAGATCTAAGAGCATTTCATTCGCATGGGGGAATCATTGAATTATACAATTGGCATCTCAGGGAACATTTGGAGAGGGCACCTCGAACTAGCCAGAAGAGACAAACGCAGGCCAAACTCAGGAAGGAGAAGGGGGTTCCCCAGGCACACAGCCCCAGAAACATTCCCTTATGCCCAGGGGTATGGTAGGGGCCAGTGCAGCTCCCGGCAGGTGCCCAATGCCACTCCGCCCCTTGCGACTCTGGGCACATGTGCCTTAGGGCCTGAGGGATGCTGGGATCCCCCTCCTGCTAGCCGCCCTGCACCCCAGTTTGGGGTGGGCTCTGGGGAAGTCCAGCCCTGAATCCCTCCTGCCCAAGGACCTGCTGTCTCAACCCACTGCATACTAGCAATGTCCAAAGGTCTTTAAACCTCTGCCCTTGGACATGCTAGGTACCTGGATCAAGGCTGACCTAGATGCCCACCCCCACCAGTCCAGCTAGCTGCCCCCCTGGGTGAGGCAGGGCATGGCCAGCCTGGGGGAAGGGCAGCTGGCCCCCTCCTGTCTAACACACCAGGAGGGCATCCAGGCAACACGATGTGACCCAGCTGCCATCCCCACACCAAGTTCATCAGGGTAGAGAGAGAGGCCAGACAGGGCCTGGGACCCCATCCCACAGGGGAAGGGGGGCGAGACCAAGTGTGAGCTGAGGCTACCAGCTCACCGTGTGTCCCGCTGTCCCATCAGACTTCACTAACAAAACACAAGTTCAAAGATAAAATTATTAAGAATTTCAGGACAGCCACGGGAGAGCAGTAAAGTGAGTGTGGATCCCTTCTGCTTGTGAGACCCAGGACCCCAGGACGGGGTGGTGGGGGAGGAGCGAAGCCAGCCCTGGCTGGCTAGGAGATGAGAGTGACAATAGCTATGCTTTAGGAAGGCTGATTGGTAATCAGGGAGTTTCCAGGCACTTAATTAAACAATTCCAGGCAGGATGCAGAGACAGGAAAACAGATTTTCCCAACAACCAGGAATCTAGTTATTAGACATTGGGTTGGAAGTGGGGTATGGGTCATCAGGAACAAAGAAGCAGAGGAGACATCCCCTGGCCCATAGAGGGTGAGGGACTTATAATTGTGTAATTTTGTGTGTGTGTCCGCCGCGGAAGAAACCAAGTGTTCTATAGATGCGAACAAAGATGAAGATGTACCACCATCAGGAAAAGACAGAGGGGCGAGGGGCCACAGGGCAGATGGTCAAGTGCAAGGGAGTGTCTCTCCCCACCCTTCCATGTGGCATTCTACACTCTAGATGTGCCCAGCATCTTAGGGAATGTCCACAACCATGCAGGCCCTCTGCTGGGGAGTAAAGGTGGTAGACAAGGTCACACGTCACAACGATCTCTATAGATGTTCTAAATGGGCACAGTATAGTGGGGTAATTTATAGGCAGAGGTGCCTAGACATCTCATGGGTGGTGGAGTCTTCAGCAGGGACAGTAGTTTTAACCTGGAATGTCTTGGATTCCTCCAGGAGAGCACCTTGGGTGGGACCTGTTACCCTGATAATCAAGAGGACTTTCTTAATTTATTTTGAGCTCAAACTCAAGTCTGCCACTTTGTGGTCCTTTTTCAGTTTTCACTTGGGGCTTGATGTTGCTACAGTGTTGGGGGGGACAGAACACCCAGAATCGATAGGGCCCAGTTGCTTGGGTGGAGACAAAAGCCCCAAGGCAGAGAAGGAACAAGGCCCATTGAGGGGCAGGGGGGAGAGGGCTCCATAAAATTCACGAAGAATTTCTCACCGTAGAGTGAGGAACACTTTCGGACTATGACTCAAAATGCAGATGCCAAGAAAGAAAATAGCTTTAAATCTAAAAACCTATATAGAACTCAGAAACTAATGCATGAATTTTTTTTTTTTTTTTAAGCCAGCATGAGGGACACCTCGGTGGCTCAGTTGGCTAATCATTTGCCTTCAGCTCGGGTCATGATCCCAGGTTCTTGGGATCAAGTCCCTATATATAGGGCTCCTTGCTCAGCGGGGAGTCTGCTTCTCCCTCTGCCTGCCACTCCCCCTGTGTTCTCTGTCTCTGACAAATAAATAAAATCTTAAAAAAAAAAAATCAGTTTTCTGATTCATATTTTTTAAAAAATAAAATAAAATAAAAAAATAAAGCCAGCATGAGCAAATCAAAGGGCGGGTTGACAACAGAGGGGGAAAAGACAAAGTGATTTGTATCATAGACAAAGGGCCAGTTTCGCTCATATTTTAAAAGTTCCTGCAGACAAACCAATAAGAAAAAAAGCTTCAACTCAGTAGAAAATGAGCAGAGGTACAAACAGTTAACAAGAAAGGAAATGCAAGTGACTCTTACATGTATGAAAACAGACACTAACTCAGAATAAGAGAAATATAAATTTGTATTAGTCTGAAGAACATTTTTTATTTATGAATTTGATTTTTAAAAGTCCAAGAGCGGGGCGCCTGGGTGGCTCAGTTGGTTAAGCATCTGCCTTCGGCTCAGGTCATGATCCCAGATCCTGGGATCGAGCTCCGCATCGGGCTCCCTGCTCAGTGGAGAGTCTGCTTCTCCCTCTCCTTCTGCCCCTCCCCCTGCTCATGCTCTCTCTCAAATAAATAATCTTAAAAAGAATAAAATAAATAAAAAATCCAAGAGCTTGATGGCAGCCTCTGTGAAGAGCTTGTGGCGGAAGGAAAAATTCTCACATATCACAGGTAGTGGTGCACGTCATACAGCGATGAGGGCAAGAGAGTGGCCATTTCTATTCACATTACAAGTGCAGAGCCCCTCTGTGTCAGGTGTCTTCCATCTACCCCTCCAGACCCAGCCTCCCCACTGTCACCCCTTACTTTGCTCTGGGATCCTGTCTTGTTAGGGTGCAGCTACCAGCGCCCTGGTCCTATGACTTCTGATTGGGATCAGCCAGTGACGAGCCCCAAGTAAGAGAAGGGAAGAAAAACAGTGAAGGGTATTTACCCTCCCATCCCCTGCCACTTCCCTGCACTATCCTTTTGGGCTCTCACAGGATTTCCTCCTCCCAAATTCCAGCACCTTCCCTTTGCCCAAGCGCCACTGGGTAACGGCCCCACTGTTATTAGCTCCAGGTACTATCTTCTTCCTTTTTGTTTGCCTACATCCTGCTCACACATTTGTAAATAGTCCCCTGATTAAAGTCTTTCTCAAAATATCCTAATTCAAATATCTTTTTCCTGCTGAGACCCTGAGTGGTATGACCTTTTGCCTGTAATCCTACTCCTGGAAAGTTTTTCTACACTTAGACTTGCACACATGCAGAATGACGTGTGTCCAGGATAATCCATTGCAGAAAAGACTGGAAGCAACTCAGACATGTATCATGGGGCCTGATTACCTAAATGGTAGTGTGTCCATAGAGTAGACTACGCAACTGCTTTTTAAAAAAACAAGGAAATGCTCTTGGGTGCTGATGTCAAAAGATCTCCCAAATATATATCGTCAAGTAGAAAAAGCAGGAGTAGGACAGGGAATGTATATCTTATCTCTTGTGTTAAAAAAGGGGGAGAAATGATATATATTTGGTTTTGCTTGTGCTTAAAGATATTCTGAAGGACTCATCAAAGAATGAATAAAAGTAGTTTTCTGAAGGAAGCAAGACCCTTTGCTATTTACTTTTGTGTGTTTTTGGAAACAGATAACTCTGTTGCCTATTCCAAAGTTAAATTTAAAACTTCTCCCTGGGGGCTCCTGGGTGGCTCAGTTGGTTAAGCGTCTGCCTTAGATCCCAGGGTTCTGGGATAGAGCCCCACATCAGGCTCCCTGCTCAGCGGGAAGCCTGCTTGTCCCTCTCCCCTCTGGTCATGCTCTTTCTTGCTATCGCTCTCTCAAACAAATAAATAAAATCTTAAAAATAAAAATAAAATAAAATAAATAAAACTTCTCCCTGACTAGACAGGAAATTGGTCCCAGGTCCGGCTCCCAGGAGGGCAAAGGAATCCTAGAAGTGGAAACATCCTGCTCCTTTCTTGTCCTGTCTTCGTCTACTTTTATCTTTGTCACTTAATTACATGCTTTAGCATTGGGATCACCTAATATCGATTTCCTTTCAGATGTGAAAGTAAAGAAAAGACTTAATAACCAAGATGCTTTGGAGCCAGAATGCTTCCCCGATTAGATCACAGAACCTGTGTCTCGTGGGTAAGTGTTACTTTTGTCGGAGCTCTTGTAGGAGCAAGCCAGCCAAGTCGCCATCACCTGGAGTCCTGCTGGGGAGTAGCAAATGGATGTCCCTGACTAGGGGCCCAACATCAGCCTGTCCAATGCCAAGAGCCAAATGGAACGTAGATAGGAAACCTGCACTGAGGGTCTGGAGTTTCTGCCCTACTATTAATTTTAGGAAAACAGACAAACAAGAATGACTCCATAATGATGGAGAGTATCCTCCAAGGCACTTTGAAGAGGAATTTCTTTTAATACCCTCATTCTAATCCAGGGCAGAGTTTCTCACTCTACTCCCCTACTTAGGAAGAGGCCAAACCCCTTATCTCCCACCGCTTCACCAGACTGAAAGGTCGGCCCTGAACTTTGGTTTCTGGGCTTCATTTATTCTTGACTTTTTTCCTGTAGTCCTATGCCGCTTTTTCTCTACCTTTCTTTTGATTCTATTTCAGTGTCCCTGGGTCATCTGTTCCATAGTTTACCAGTAGGGGATCCATGAGGGGGACACTTCTCCCCTATGCAGGCCTGCCCATGCCTGTAACCGCTCCCTTCCCAAGTCACTGTGACAGCCAGAAAGCAAAGGAGAGTCCCCAGTTCCCATCACCAGCGATTTTCTTCCTACACTCCCCTTGACAAATGTCTTAATCTTTAAAGTGTATTAACTGACAATATGCATATTCATATTCTGAGACTTTTTCCAGACACATAGCTAGCTGCTTCTCGGGGCTCTCTCCCAACCCATCAGCCCTGTTATTCACAGCAACCCCTAGATAGATCTCATTTTGGATTCAATCAAGTTGAAACCCATGGACCATGTGCTGATGATACCCACATCAATCCTCCAAGAACCATTTGCTTGAGCATTTTTTTTTAGCACAAGGAAGTCTCAATCCAATGTCAAGACATGTACGAAAGAATGCCAGACTCAGAGCGAGAATTACAAATTGAGGCTGGAGAGAGTATTTTTGCTTGTCTCATATATTTTTCTTCTTCCTAGTGTGTATCAGCCTTGTGTTTGGTGTGTTATCTTCGTTGCCTGGTAAGAGATTTTCTTGGCTTGAGTGAATTTTGTGGAAGGGCCAGAGTACTGGGGCGACCATTCAGAAACCTAAAATGTGGGGAATTTGATTTCTGATCCCAGATGTGTTGCCAATTTTGTTTGAATCCTTCTTCTTAGATTTTCTCAAATACTCTTTTTTTTCCTCTGTCAAAGGAGTGAAATTTAGCCAAATTTGCACATTTGTCTCTCAAAACTCTTATAAGAAATTAATACCAAAAAGAAAAAAGAGGGAAAGAAAACACCAGAAGTCATTTTAAAACTCCTAAAAAGAATATTCAATTTCAAACCCCTTAATCGAAGAATGAGGAAGCACAGACTATGTCAAACAGCAAGCGATCCAGAAGTAATTTCCCCTTAATTTGCATTCTTCCACATGCTCTCTGGTACCTGGTGCCAGATAAAGGAAAATACTCTTTTTAAACCAAACATCTTGCCTACATCTGTAAATCTGTCTGCATAATCTCACTCTGCATTAACTCTATATCCAACCTTGTGATGAGCACAGGGGATGAAGAGGTCACAGCCAAGGAGCAGAGTCCTAGGTCCGAACCACAGGCAACTTAAAGGATCATAAAAATTGAATTTGAAAAAAAAGAAAGAAAAGACCTGAATATGAATGGGATTTGACCACTGTAGTTTTCGAATCTCACTTGCCGCTGCCTCTTCCCAGCTACATAACATTATGTAACTCAACTTCTCAGTTTCACGGTCTGTAGAATGGGTCTCTTCCTAGGACCGACTTCAGCATTGTTGCTCAGATTAAGTGCCTGGAAAGGGCCAGTCTGGACATGCATTATCTGTCCCTTCCTTCCGTAACCAGGGAATAAATGCAATGGAAGTTTAGCAGAGGGAAAGCAGGTGGTGGGCTGAGCCACTTAGGGGGACTATAGGAAGAGTTGGAGTTGAGTTGAGAGAATGAGGTGGACACGAATCCTTTTGATCCGATGAACCGCTGAGAGTCCATGATAACTGAGGGAGGCCAAATCTTGTTTCCACAGTGCTGAGTTCTGGTCCCTAAGCTTGCCTGCCCTAACGATGTGTTGCTCATGAATTAGTTATGTTACTTCATTTCTTGTGTCCACTAGAACCATATCCTTCCCGTGTTCCCAAGACCCTGGGGTTTCTCTGCTGGGCGTGTGGGCTCCAGATCCCAAGGGACCGATTGGACAACCCTGGGTTCCAGATTTCAGTGTTTCTTTTTTCTCTCCTGTTTCCTTTAGATTTATCAGATAAATCTTGCACTTTCAAGGTGACGTTACACAATTTCCGGGTCATCTTATCGTGGGAATTAAAAAACCATTCCATTGTACCAGATCACTATACATTACAGTACACAGTTATAAGGTTGGTTTGACATTTCATTTTTTTCTTGTTAAATATATTCGCTTTCTATTAATTGGGGAGTGGGGAAGGGTCGTGATCTTCCTTGTGATAGAGCTCCTCTCTTCTCTCCCTCTCTCTCTCTGTTCTGAGTTCAGAGCTTTAAAAGTCCAAGTCCACTTTTAATTGAATTGAGTACTTTAACAACCTCAAACTGGTTTTGACAAAGCTTGTATTTATAATCATTTCTATGGGTCAGAGCTGCAGAAGCAAAATAATTACTATGAATGGTTTTCACAATTATTTCTCTCAGTCAGTCAGTCTGGACATTTAAAGAACAGTTTTTCAAGAAATAAATAAATGAATGAATGCACTGTTTTCTGAGGACAGGAGTCCAAAGATCTGGTGACCATATTGATGTTAGGTTCACTTTTCTTTATTCAGGGAGCCGTGTGGCACATCAGAAAGCTGCCTGGCCAAGACCAGGAGAGGCCTAGGTCCACAGTCTGGCTTGATCACTGATTGGCTGTGACCTTGGGGCACAGAGCTCAGCTTCTCTGATCCGAGTGTCCTACTTAGGGGTGCCTGCAAAGATGAATGACATAATGGATGGAACCCTCAATGGCTCTCTTCTTCCGATGTCTAATGTCACCCTTCTAGGCTGTTACTTTGATCCAGTTGGCCCTCCAAGTGTTCTTTTGTTTGCTGTTTATTTGGCTAAAAGCTGTTACTACCATTGACTGACCCGGTAGAAGGCCTCTTGCAAGTTTCTCTGGTGCCTGCCAAAGTCTTAGTTTCTCTCTGTGTTAGGCAGTCACATGTATCACCCACTTACCTTTCTGAAGCTCAAGAAATCAGATATCTCTCTTGTCCCTACATAGCACAGGCTGACTTGGGACTGGACCATGTGATCCTCAGCTGGAGAGAGGGTTTCGGGGAGGACACTCATGATTGTTCTGTGGGGACTGGGAGATCTGGGGCCTTTACCACAAAAGCATAAGGTTTGCTCATTCATTCATCCAGCAAATACTTACTGAGCACCTACTGCATGCCAGGGGTCAAACCATGAACCAAAGTCCTTGACCTCCTGCGGCCTAGAGCAGATATTCTGAAAGTAGGCAGAGATATCAATAAACAGATAAAGATATAATATGGTAGGTGCTGGTAAACAGTGTGCAGAAAAATAAAGACAGACAAGAGGGATTAGGAGAGAAAGGGGAACACAATGGGGTAAGGTGTATTTCCATTTTAAATAAAGTGGTTAGGGAAGATGACTTGATACAGGGATATTTGGGCAGAGCCATAAAGAAATGAAGAAGCTGGGCATGCAGTTAGTGGATTCTCATCATATAAATGCTGAAGTTTTCCTTTTATCATTTCTTTTCCTTTCAAAGTAGACCAGACCATGTGAAGATTGTGGAGCACTGTTCAAATATCACAGCATCATTCTGTGACCTAACAGATTTGTGGGAGGTCCTGCCTGAGACGTACGCCGTCACAGTTGATGGATTCAGAGGGAACACAACGCTGGTCACGTGTTTCATCGATTTCTTCCTGGCAACACACAGTGAGTGGATCTCTGTTTATCATCTTCAGCAGCAGCAGCAAGTGCATCAGCATTTGCTTTGCCATGAAATAGAAAGGTCTGCAAAGGGTGTCTCAGACTCAGGGCTAGGTGCACCGCCTGACCCTGCCACTTTCCTAGCTCTGAAGTATTTACTTTGCTTCTCTGAGCCTCAGTTTTCTTATCCAAAAGGTGGGATGATGGTCTGTACTTTGCAGAGGATTCCTCTATGCCTGAGTGAGGCAGGTATTCCAGCAGCAGTGGCCACTACTTTCTGGTATATTTCAGAAGCTGATAGGAAGTAGATAGTGAGGTCCAGATGGCCTGTATCTGAGCTGTCACAACTCTTTGGGCCAGTGTTCTCCTTAATACTGCAACCCCTCCCCCGGATCATAACCCAGTAGCTCTTATCTATGTCAGTTCCCAGACTCAGAGAAGACCGGAGCCCAAGAGTGGATCTGCCTCTCTCTTCTTTGCCTGTGACTGGAGTCAGGTCCCTACGGCACTTGCCTTAACATTCCCAGTGTCAGTGGTCCTCAGCCAGACTCCAGCACTTCTTCAGTGTCTTAATATGCAACCTGTTTCCAAGAGAAAGATTCTGTTTCAGCTCCCTGTTAAAGGCTGTGTGGGTGTGCACTCACACATATGTGCTTATTAGCAAAGTGATAATGACCGAATCCCACTGTCACAAACAACCTAGATAGGAGATTCACTGGAATTGTGTGTATATGTTTATGTGTGTGTAGAAATGTACATATCTGTGTGTGTATAAAAAAAGAAAAGAAAGAAAAGCACAACTTCTAGATCATGGCATTCAGACTATTGCAGAAACGATATTAAAGTCAGAAAGATGTCATTTTTCAAGACTCAAGATGGTAAATATGAGGGCTCTGGGGGGGGAAGATGGCAGACGAGTAGGGGACCCTATTTCAACTGGTCCCTGGAATTGAGCTGGATATCTACCAGACCACTCTGAGCTGGATATCTACCAGACCACTCTGAGCACCCACGAAACCAGCCCGAGATGTAAGAAGATCTGGATCTCTACAAACAGAATATCGCAGGCGGTTGGTTTCAGGGTACAAAGCGGGGAGTCGTGATTCTGCGGGCAGATATCGGAGGATAAACGGCGGCGGCGGGAGGGAGCCTGGCCCTGGGGATCCTACACCGCTGGTGAGCGACAGCCTCGCGGGCTGCAGATGGGCACAGACTCGCAGACCGGTCAAAGGACTTTAGGGCAGCCCCCGGGGTGGAAAACCAGACTGGCAGGGTCACGCACATGCGAACTGCAGCCCGCACCCCACCCCCGCACCCACCCACCCCACCCCCCGCCATAGAAACCGGAGCGACGGTCACGCGCACACGAACTGCAGCCTCCGAGACGGAAACCCGGTGTGCAGGGGTCGAGCTGGTGAACTGCAACCCCCAGAGGTGGAAACCCCGGGCGGCGGAGGCGCACATGCAAACTGGGAGCGGCTGGCGGTTTTAGAAGCACAAAAGGCAGAGATGCGCCCCGACCTGCAGGCAGGACTGGGGGCGCTGCGGAGGGGCGCACAACCCAGGCCGCTGCAGTTTATAGCAGCACGGACAGAAACGGAGACGGTGTGGCCTGGAGGGCTCACTGAAGAACAGACTGCGATCTCTCTGCTCTGGGGCAGAGGGTTGGAAACGGTCTCTTCTGCTCTGACTCACGGAAGAGACGCGGAAAGCCGCCAGGGAAAGGCGCCAGAGAACAAAAGCCCCAAAGACTGATTCCCACTGAGCCCATCCCCCGCCACAGGGGCGCAGGGCAACTCCGCCCAAACAGGGTTGCCTGAGTAACAGCGCGGCAGGCCCTTCCTGCAGAAGACAGGCTGGGAAAACAAGAGGCCGGCAACCCTAGGTCCCAAGAAAACAGGTGCATCTTGCTTGGGTTCTGGTCAATAATTTGGACTCTATACATTCCCTCAAATACCCATCAACAGAATGACTAGGAGGAGGAGCCCCCAAAACAGAAAAAACTCAAGAGATTATGACTTATGCTGCAGATTTACAAATGGATGCAGACATAACCAAGATGTCGGAGATGGAATTCAGGCTAGCAATTGTGAAGACAATGGCTAGAATGGAGAAATCAATTAATGGTAACGTAGAGTCTCTAAGGGCAGAAATAAAAGGTGAATTGGCAGAACTTAAAAATGCTATCAATGAGATCCAATCCAATCTAGATAATCTAACAGCTAGGGTAACTGCAGCAGAAGAGAGACTAAGCTACCTGGAAGACAATATAATAGATAAAAAGGGAAAGGAGGAGGCCAGGGGAAAACAACTCAGAATCCATGAAAATAGAATCAGAGAAATAAGTGACACCATGAAGCATTCCAGTGTCAGAATAATTGGAATCCCGGAGGGAGTGAATAGACAGAGAGGACTAGAAGATGTATTTGAGCAAATCCTAGCTGAGAACTTCCCTAATCTGGGGAATGAAACAAACATTCGAGGCCTAGAGGCAGAGAGGACCCCTCCTAAGATCAAGGAAAACAGGCCAACATCCCGGCATGTAATAGTAAAACTCGCAAATCTTAGAACCAAGGAAACCATCTTAAGGGCAGTTAGGGGGAAGAGATTCCTTATGTACAGAGGGAGGAACATCAGAATAACGTCAGACCTATCCACAGAGACCTGGCAAGCCAGAAAGGCCTGGCAAGACATATTCAGAGTACTAAATGAGAAGAACGTGCAGCCAAGAATACTTTATCCGGCAAGGCTTTCATTTAGAATGGATGGAGAGATGCAGAGCTTCCACCACCGGCAGAAACTGAAAGAGTATGTGACCACTAAGCCGGCCCTGCAAAAAATATTAAGGGGGGGGTTCTATAAAAGGAGAAAGACCCCAAGAGTGATACACAACAGAAATTTACAGGGACAATCTATAAGAACAACGTCTTCACAGGCAACATGATGACAGTTAATTCATATCTTTCAATAATCACTCTCAACGTGAATGGCCTAAACGCTCCCATAAAACGGCACAGGGTTGCAGATTGGATAAAAAGACAGGACCCATCCATATGCTGTCTACAAGAGACTCATTTTGAACCTAAAGATACATCCAGACTGAAAGTGAAGGGATGGAGATCCATCTTCCATGCCAGCAGACCTCAAAAGAAAGCTGGGGTAGCAATTCTTATATCAGACAAATTAGATTTTAAACTAAAGTCTGTAATAAGAGACACAGAAGGACACTATATCATTCTTAAAGGGTCTGTCCAACAAGAAGATCTAACAATTGTAAATATCTATGCCCCCAACATGGGAGCAGCCATCTACATAAGCCAACTGTTAACCAAAATAAAGAGTCATATTGATAACAATACGTTAATTGTAGGAGACCTCAATACTCCACTCTCAGCAATGGACAGATCATCTAAGCAGAAAATCAACAAGGAAACAAGAGCTTTGAATGGTACATTGGACCAGATGGACCTCATAGATATTTACAGAACCTTCCACCCTAAAACAACAGAATACTCATTCTTCTCGAGCGCACATGGAACTTTCTCCAGAATAGACGATATACTGGGTCACAAATCAGGTCTCAACCGATACCAAAAGATTGAGATGATTCCCTGCATATTCTCAGACCACAATGCTCTGAAACTGGAACTCAATCACAAGAAAAAATTTGGCAGCAATTCAAACACTTGGAAGCTAAAGACCACTCTGCTCAAGAATGTTTGGGTCAACCAAGAAATCAAAGAAGAACTTAAACAATTCATGGAAATCAATGAGAACAAAAACACATTGGTCCAAAACCTATGGGATACTGCAAAGGCGGTCCTAAGGGGGAAATACATAGCCATCCAAGCCTCACTCAAAAAAATAGAAAAATCCCGAATTCACCAACTAACTCTACACCTTAAAGAACTAGAGAAAAAGCAACAAACGACACCTAAGCCACACATTAAAGAGAAATAATTAAAATTAGAGCAGAAATCAATGAATTAGAGACCAGAAACACAGTAGATCAGATCAACGAAACTAGAAGTTGGTTCTTTGAAAGAATTAATAAGATCGATAAACCACTGGCCAGACTTATCCAAAAGAAGAGAGAAAGGACCCAAATTAATAAAATTATGAATGAAAGGGGAGAGATCACGACTAACACCAAGGAAATAGAAACAATTATTAGAAATTATTATCAACAACTATATGCCAATAAACTGAGCAATCTGGATGAAATAGAGGACTTCCTGGAAATCTATAAGCTGCCAAGACTGAAACAGGAAGAAATTGAAAACCTGAATAGGCCAATAACCAGTAACGAGATTGAAGCAATGATCAAAAACAAGAGTCCAGGGCCTGATGGATTCCCTGGGGAATTCTACCAAACATTCAAAGAAGAAATAATACCTATTCTACTGAAGCTGTTTCAAAAATAGAAACAGAAGGAAAACTTCCAGACTCATTCTATGAGGCCAGCATTACCTTAATCCCCAAACCAGGCAAAGACCCCATCCAAAAGGAGAATTTCAGACCCATATCCGTGATGAATATGGATTCCAAAATCCTCAAGAAAATCCTAGCTAATAGGATCCAACAATAAATTAAAAGGATCACCCACCACGAGCAAGTGGGATTTATCCCCGGGATGCAAGCATGGTTCAACATTTGCAAATCAATCAGTGTGATAGAACACATTAATAAGAGGAGGGAGAAGAACCATATGGTCCTCTCAATTGATGCAGAAAAAGCATTTGACAAAATACAACATCCTTTCCTGATTAAAACTCTACAGAGTATAGGGATAGAGGGAACATTCCTCAAGTTCATAAAATCCATTTATGAAAAACCCACAGCGAATATCATCCTCAATGGGGAAAAGCTGAGAGCCTTTCCCTTAAAATCAGGAACACGTCAAGGATGCCCACTCTCACCACTATTGTTCAACATAGTACTAGAAGTCCTAGCAACAGCAATCAGACAACAAAAAGAAATAAAAGGTATTCAAATCGGCAAAGAAGAAGTCAAACTCTCTCTTTTCGCAGACGACATGATACTTTATTTGGAAAACCCAAAAGACTCCACCCCCAAATTACTAGAACTCATCCAGCAATTCAGCAATGTGGCAGGATACAAAATCAATGCACAGAAATCAGTTGTTTTCTTATACACTAACAACGCAACTGTAGAAAGAGAAATTAGAGAAACTATTCCATTTACAATAGCACCAAAAACCATAAGATACCTCGGAATAAACCTAACCAAAGAGGTAAAGGATCTATACTCTAGGAACTACAAAATACGCATGAAAGAAATTGAAGAAGACACAAAAAGATAGAAAAATATTCCACGCTCATGGATCAGAAGAATAAACATTGTTAAAATGTCTATGCTACCCAGATCAATCTATACCTTCAGTGCCATCCCGATCAAAATTCCAATGACATTTTTCAAAGTGCTGGAACAAAGAATCCTAAAATTTGTATGGAATCAGAAAAGACCCTGAATCGCCAAGGAAATGTTGAAAAAGAAAAACAAAGCTGGGGGCATCACATTGCCCAATTTCAAGCTATATTACAAAGCTGTGATCACCAAGACAGCATGGTCCTGGCACAAAAACAGACATATAGACCAATGGAACAGAATAGAAAGCCCGGATATGGACCCTCAACTCTATGGTCAAATAATCTTTGACAAAGCAGGAAAAAACATGCAATGGAAAAAAGACAGTCTCTTCAATAAATGGTGCTGGGAAAATTGGACAGCCACATGCAAAGAATGAAACTCGACCATTCTCTAACACCATTCACAAAGATAAACTCAAAGTGGATGAAAGACCTCAATGTGAGACAGGAATCCATCAAAATCCTAGAAGAGAACATAGGCAGTAACCTCTTTGACATCGCCCACAGCAACTTCTTTCAAGATACATCTCCAAAAGCTAGTGAAACAAAAGCAAAAATGAACTTTTGGGACTTCATCAAGATAAAAAGCTTCTGCACAGCAAAGGAAACTGTCAACAAAACAAAGAGGCAACCCACAGAATGGGAGAAGATATTTGCAAATGACACTACAGATAAAGGGCTGGTATCCAAAATCTGTAAAGAACTTCTCAAACTCAACACCCAAAAAACAAATAATCAAGTCAAAAAGTGGGCAGAAGATATGAAAAGACACTTCTCTGAAGAAGACATACAAATAGCTAACAGACACATGAAAAAATGTTCATCATCATTAGCCATCGGGGAAATCCAAATCAAAACCACACTGAGATACCACTTTACACCAGTTAGAATGGCAAAAATGGACAGGGAAAGAAACAACAAATGTTGGAGAGGTTGTGGAGAAAGGGGAACCCTCTTACACTGTTGGTGGGAATGCAAGTTGGTACAGCCACTTTGGAAAACAGTGTGGAGGTTCCTCAAAAATTTAAAAATAGAGCTACCCTATGACCCAGCGATTGCACTACTGGGTATTAACCCCAAAGACACAGATGTAGTGAAAAGAAGGGCCATATGCACCCCAATGTTCATAGCAGCAATGTCTGCAATAGCCAAACTGTGGAAAGAGCCGAGATGCCCTTCAACAGATGAATGGATAAAGAAGATGGGGTCCATATATACACTGGAATATTACTCAGCCATCAGAAACGATGAATACCCAACTTTTACGTCAACATGGATGGGACTGGAGGAGATTATGCTAAGTGAAATAAGTCAAGCAGAGAAAGTCAATTATCATATGGTTTCACTTATCTGTGGAACATAAGGAATAACATGGAGGACATTAGGAGAAGGAAGGGAAAAATGGGGGGGTGGGAATTGGAGGGAGAGATGAATCATGAGAGACTCTGGACTCTGAGAAACAAACAGGGTTTTAGAGGGGAGCAGGGAGGGGGGATTGGTTAGCCCGGTGATGGGTATTAAGGAGGGCACGTACTGCATGGAGCACTGGGTGTTGTACAAAAACAATGAATCGTGGATCACCACATCAAAAACCAATGATGTGTTGTATGGTGACTGACATAACATAATAAAATTTTAAAAAAAGAAAAAAAGAAAAAAAAAGATGGTAAATATGTAAATACCCAGGTTTAGAGGAAATGCAGTGAGTGTACTGTGGTGAGGTCTTTCTGAAAACATTTGGCAGTATGTGTTAAAACCTTAACACCTGCTTGCTCTAATCCAGAATTCCTCGTTAATAATTCATCCTAAAGAACAATCATGGATAAATGTCATAGTTTAGCTTCTAGAATGCTCATTGATGCAATGATTCTATTCAGAAAATTTAGAGACAATCTCATGTTCAAAACAGCAAATCAGTTAAATTATGGTACAACCAGCCACTTAGGGGAATAGAATCAACCATGAAAGTCACGATGAACATCAGGGGTCAGCCAACTTTCCGTAGAAGGCCAGGAAAGAAATACTTTGGACTTTATGGGCCACACATCATACACTATATCACCTATTCTTCTTTCATTGCTTTGCAACCCTTTTTAAAACTAAAAACCACTCAGAACTGGCAGGCTGTGCAGAAATCCAACCCACAGGCCATTTGGCCAGCCCTCAATGGAGATAAATATGCATTAATATGTTTATGAAATGAGTTAGGTGCAATATATAACATGCAAAACTGTGGGTAAGAATGATTTAATCTCAGTTTAGATGGGTGTGTGTGTGTGTGTGTGTGTGTACAGTAGTTCAGTTTATATACATATGTATATATATTTACACACACACAATAGACAAAAGACAACCACATTCAGGGACAATTGCGTACTGTGTTTTCGGCTATTTCTACAATGGTTGGGTATTACTGTAATACGAGAAGAAGTCATTTTTACTTTCATGTTTAGAATACAGCCTGAAAATTGGGAAAGACTGACTTCCATCCCAAAACCTGTCCTCCATTTCTCCATTAAGCAAATCACATCACTTTTATTGTTCTCAGTTTTCCACCAATTAAAGAAAAAAAAAAAAAAACATACAACCCATGCCTCAACTAGGACCATAGGCGGGTTAAAGAGAATGTAGTTGTCAAGAAGTCAGGTTGTATTACTGGGAGCGCTGGAAGCGATATGGTTAGACATTGGGATTTGTTTCTGATTTTGTTTTCCAAACAGTATCTTTAGAACCACCAGAGTTTGATATTGTTGACTTTACGGACCACATTAACGTCAATGTGAATTTCCCACCTGTCATTCCCAAGATACTAGATGGAGAAGTATTACAGTTTTACTTATCACTCATCATCGAAGAACAGTCAGGGGGGATTGTCAAGAAGGTAAGTGGTCAAAACAGTTCTGAGTTGGCCATGAATATATTTGACTCTCTTCTTTAAAAAAAAAAAGACATTTGTAATGACTAGAACAATTAAGGCTAAAGGGTCTGAGGCAATGGGATCTGACTTTAGGGAAGAAGTCTCCATAGTTCTTTCATTGTGGAGATATGTTGACTTAGCCTAGCAGTGTGGTCTTCTTTCAAAGAATAAGTCACATGCACAACATCGGGGGACACACAGGAAAGAGAAAGGAGTGTGGTGTAGACCAAGAGAACAGGCTCATTTTAGCACACACTAGGGCAAAATTCCAAATGGTAGAGTGAGCGCAAGTAGACTCTGCCGTAAGAGCAGCTTGCATGGGCATAGCCCTTTGCCAAGTATAAACCCTTGCCCGTAATACCAGCCTGCAAGTTATCAGGGGCAGGGGCTTTTCAGGCAGAGGGCACTGGAAGTCAGAGGTCCTGAGGCTGGAGTGGACCCAGTGGATTTGAGAAACAGCAGGGAGCCGGAATGGAGTGACCAAGACAGGAAAATAGAAGGAGGTGAGGTCAGGGAGGCAATGGGGCCCGGATCTTGTGGGGCTTTGTGAGTCTATGTCTTCGGAGTATCATGAAGCTACTGAAGGATCCGAGGCTTTACCAGGGCATCCTGCCTGGTGTACTGAGAATAGATCATAGGAGCCACAGTTGGAGAGAGGGAGGAGAGAGGTAGGAGACCAGTTAAGAGGCTATTATGATGGCAGTTACTCAATAGGAAGTAGCAAATCGTATAATATAATATCCACTTGGATTATAATCAACACCCTAATCCTTTGATTAGGAAAAGGGTACAAAAATAACAGAGGGAAGAAATAAGCTTATGTAGCTTGGAGACTATATCAAGTTTCTTTAAATTCATAATCCAGTCACATCTAATTTATATTCAACCCATGAGCTTCTAACTCTGTTTGAGATTATTATTTCTAAAATAAGAGGGCTATGCTTATTAGGATCTTGACAACACTGTAAGGGGGAAATGGTGGTTAATGAGCATTTTTGTCATTAAAGGAAAATGGTCTTTGGACTAAATTAGATCAAGGGAAAAAAAAGAAGAGGCTACTGGTGGAATCCAGATGACAGCTGGTGGTGACTTGGTCCCTTGGCAGTAATGAGAAGTGGTCAAATTCTACATATGTCTTGCAAGTGGAGCCGACAGTATTTTTGGATAGATTGAATGTGTGGTGTGGTGAACAAAGAGACAAGAGCACCTGGATAGGTGGAGTTTCCATTTATTAAAATGGGGTAGATTACGGATGGAGGAGGTAGATGGTTGAATCTCAGTAGCTTAGATTTGGGTATGTCAAATTTGAGGTGCACACAAGGCATCCAGGAGGAGATATTGAGCAGGAGTTAAAGGCTCCAAATCTGGAGTTCAGGGGAGAGCTTCTAGCTGGAGAGATGTCCAGGGGAGTCATCGGCTTCTTTGAGTGTATTGATACCTTGAGGCGAGATGAGATCACCTGGAAGTGGATATGCAGAGAGATGTTCAAAGTCAGAGCCCCAGAGGACTCAAAATGTAGAGATCTAGCAAATGAGGAAACAACAAAAGAGACTGGGAAGGAGCAACCAACAGCATAGGAGGAGAAGTAGGTGAGAGTGATGTCCTAGTAGCTGAGAGACGAAAGTTCCAGAAGGAGAAAGTGATCTACTGGGTCAAATGCTATAAATGGGACACGTTAGGCGAGGACTGTGGATTGACTATTGGATTTAGCAACATGGAAGTCCTGGTGACCCTGATAAGAGTGATTTCGATGGAGTGTTGGGGTGAGGATCTGGTAGGAGTAGATTCCAGAAAGAGAAGGAAGCGAGAAATTGGAGACAGTGAAGAAAGCTAATTAATTCTTCTAAGGAGTTTTTCTATAAAGAGGAGAGATACTCTGTGGTGGAAAGTGGGGTCAAGGAGGGACACTTTAAAGTGGAAGAAGTTACAGCACGTTCATGTGCAGATGGAATGTTCCAGGGGGATTGGTGGAGCCATGTTGTTGAGGAGATGAAGATGGATGGAATCTCATGAGCACAAGAAGGGGTTGGCCTTGGCTCAGAGCAGGGACTGGGCATCCGAGGCACAGTGAGGGAGGCAAAATTGTCAGGCACAGAGGCATATCTGTTTGCTTAGGGAAACAGGAAGGAAGCATTGCAATCTTCATCAAGATCACACAGTGGCAACACCAGGTGTGGGACCCAGATATTCTGACTCTCAGCTACCATTGGCTGTTCCTCTTTCAGGCAGTTTCTACTTCTCTCCCCCCTTTTTTCTTCATTGCTTCTTGGCCATGCATGAGATTTTAGTTCATTAGGACTTTTTCTTTTTCTTTTTTTTTTAATTCTTCCTCCTTCTAAATAGAAAGTTGCTGAAAAACATTATTACAGAAGGCTGTATTTGAACTGCTGAAATCCTAATTTTACATTACGCAGAAGTTGTTTTTCTTGAAAGAACCTTCGTATCATCTCTTTAATTCCAAACTGGAACAGAACTATCTGGGAAGGAAGAGGCAAGGTGTTTTAAGGGAGAACATAAGAAATTAGACAGCAACCACAGTTCTGCCACAGACAAGCTGTGTGGCCTTGGAAAGTTACCTAACCACTCTGAGTGGTAGTTTCGTCGTCTGGAGAATGGGGATAACGCCAACTTTGCAGACCATTTTAATAATCACATTCATTAATATATATGAAAGTACTTCTGAAGTGTAGACACATATCATTAATGAAAAAAGATAATCTTTATTTATTTTCTCACTTTTGCTAGGTTATCTTAACTCAAGACAAAATAGTCTTGTAAAAATGACGTCATGGAAACCTTTATTCCTCATTGAAACTTTTTCTACTCATTTATAAAATGAAGTTGCTAGACTAGATTTCATGGTTTGAAAGTGTGCGTGGTATATACACGTACATGCAGTTTAGTGATCAATTGCTGGGCCCAAATAACTTAAAAATCCTTTTTCCTTTCAAACCCACAATATTTCTATCCCTGTTTAAGATTTGAAGACGAATCCCCAAAGAGACTTTTCCAGCCTGCCTCTAAATGAAATTCTCAAAGTCTTCCTGATTTTTTGCTTCTTTTCACAGCATAACCCCACACTAAATGAAAACATCACTGGAAATTTCACTTACGTCATCGACAGGTTACTTCCAAACACAAACTACTGTATATCTGTTTATTTTAAGCCTAGAAATCTGGGAGCAATCCATAGATCTCCAGTAAAATGTACCCTCCTTCAACCTGCACAGGACACAGGTATAAGTTTTTAAAAATTCATGTGTTGCTTTTATTCTGCGGGAAAACCTATTTAATGAGAAGAATCTGAAAGTCATGGAGCATGGACGGAGATGTGTTCTATTGGTCAGTCTCAGCCAAGTGCTGGAGTCACTTTGAAGGTGCCATACCAGAGGGACAGTCCATATCTACCTTTATAAAGTCAGATCCTCCTGAAGTGGAAATGCTTCTATTTCAGGGAGTCAGGATGAAATTCAGTTCTCGGTGCCCTTCGGGTGGCCATTACTCAAGCCAAGGGCTGGAGGAGGCAGAGTTGTTGGAAACAATTGCAGGCAGAGATATCAGAGGGTCAAATTATGGAGGTTGGGTGTGGCTCATTGATGTGGCCTGCCTCGCAGGAAGGTGGGCTGTAGCTCGCAGACGGAAGGAAAACTCACCAGTGTGAATGAGATAGTCCCTGACGAAGGCTGAGAAGTCCTTCTGTTGCAAAGGCGTCAGAATAGTAAACAGCATAGTCCCCAATCCTTCCCCGCTGAATGGAGAAATTTGCAGTGAGAACAATCAGGCTTAGGCACATTCGCTGCCGCTGATTCGCCTAGGAAGTAACTAGGTCTCTGTTTTGCCAAAAGTGAAAATCTCCACCAAAGAAGCCTCTCTGAATTTCCCAACCCCGAGGAGAGTTTCTTTAACGTTCTGATTTACCAGATGACAGACAATAAGGTGAGACAGAAGGAAGAACAGTCAACGGTAGGGCTGATTTGTGGGTTAAGGGAACTACGCTCCACAGTGCCTGGCGCCTGGCGCACGAAGGTGCTCCCTGTGATTTTACTCTCCTGTGTTTCTCAGGGTCGGATGATGCAATTTTAAAGGAAAAAGTATCTCCTTGAAGTATCTTTAAAGGGGAAAGCATTAGCTTAAATCATTATTATAGTGTCAGTTAAATACAGGCAAACCTAAACTTGCATATAAATTCCTTAGGCCGTTAGCTCTTACAAAAATGTGAACCCCAAACAAAGTTGCATACTTATGTCCTGATACCTATTCTCCAACATCAGCTATGTGTCCAGTGATGCGACTCATTTCTGACACTCTCTGGAGTTAGTGTAGGCCCCCCACGTGAAGGGGCTCAGTCCCCCAAGACCACCCCCTTCGGGTGCTGGCTGCAAGTCTGGCCACCCAAACTTATGTCCATCCTAGCTACAAATCCAGAGGTTCCCACAACCTCCCTTCAGACTTAATAAGGCAGGAGCTCCTGTCCCCTTGGAGTCAGGGGGCACCACCCTCCCAAAACTTCCATGTGTTCACTGACCCAGAATCTCCCCAAGCCTTGCTGTCCAGAGTTTGTACTGGGATTCATTACATAGCCATGATTGATTAAATCATCATCCATTAGTGACTAAATGCAATCTGCAGCCCCTCTCCCCTCCCTGAAGGACAGTGAGGCCAGAAGTTCCTAATCTCTAACCACTAGGTTGGTTTTTCTGGTGACCAGCCCCTATCCTGGAGCTATCCAGCACCCTGCCTTAGCTCGCCTCGTTAGCATAAACTCGCATATAGTCCCCAAAAGACACTCCTATCACTCAGGGAATTGATGTTCTGTGCCAACAACTAGGGACAAAGACCAGATATTTTGTATTATTATTATTATTAATCCATGGTCTTATAAACAAAACCAATTGAATGGAGAACTATTTTTCTCCTCCTCACGCACGGAATACTCCCGTGTTCCGTCGGTGTGGGGGCTTTCCCCATACCAAGCAATCCTCCCACACCAGCTCTGTGTCTTCCAATTTCACTCAGTCCCGATACCATCTACCTGGAGGTAGAGACTCATTCTCACAAGACTGCCCCCACCGCCCCTTCGAACACCAGTTGCAACTCAAAGTTGCCACCTGGGTGTCAGACCGGCTAGCTGTAAATTGGAGATTCTCACAAGCCCTTCCCTGGGTTTGATAATTTGCTAGAATGGCTCACAGAACTCAGGAAAACAATTTCTTTACTGGTTGATTACAAAAAGATACAACTCAGGAACAGCCTGACCCAGGCCGCCTGGGGCCAGGTATGAGGGGAGGGGCAGGGAGCTTCTCTGCCCTCTTAGAGCAAACACACCACCCCCCCAACTTCCCAACCCAGAAGCTGTCGGAACCCTGTCTTTTGAGAGTTTTATGCAGACTTCATTACAAAGGGAGGACTGATTAAATCCTTTGCCACTGACAATAATTCAACCTCCAGTCCCTCTCTTGCCCCCAGAGGTCCAGGGGTGGGGTTGAAAGTTCCAGCCCTCTAATCACCAGTTGGTTCTCCTGGCAACCAGCCTCCATCCTTAGTGGCTTTCCAAAAGTCATCTCCTTAACAGTAAACTCAAGTGTGGTCACAGGGGGCTTGGATATGAACAATAAGCGACATTCCTTCACTTTCCTTGCTCTTATCTCTTAGGAAATTTCAGAGCCCTGTGCCAGGAACTGGGGACAAAGACCAAATATATATTTTTTATTGTTATAAATCACAATCTCACCAATAAAAACTCAAATTAGTAATATGACACGACAGACGGTGGTTTGCTGAAACTCAGTCCCCACCTGGAAGACGAATGTAAGCCTGAGACCAAAGGCATGCGTTCTTTGGAGGTTGACATGCTCTGTGGTGACCCAGTTTCTCCCTGACTTTTCTGTCTCACCCACTAAGAAGCGGTCATGCAACAGCACGTTGTCATTTCATCTTTACTTGGTGTAAACACATCATTTTGCATATTAAATCAGTCTCCCTTCTTGTATCGTTACCCAAGACAGTGCAAGAGCAGGTGTCACTCACGATCCAAATATTTGATGTCTCAATTCTTATTGTCTGAAACTCAGGAACCAAGTAGGTACACATAACATGGACTCCTCACTGTCCAGACTTGCCATCTGAACTACCTTCAACTAGCCCAGCTTGGGAACCAGACAGGTTCGGATGGTGGGAGATTCTTGACGGACAACCTGGGACTGGCGTTAACTTCCTCAGACTCAGGGGTGAGCACTGCTATCTTAGGAGTGCTCATCTGGGGAGAGTTTAGTCTAGAGATCTAGAGAAATGTCACCCCTCTGGTCAAGTCCTAAATTAACTGGTTGGTTCTTTCAGGAAGACCTTGAGGGAGAGCGGTGTCCATCCATTTGACAGATATTTATTGGGAACCTACTATATGCTGGATTCTCTTGTAGATGCTGGGGAGACAGCCCTAAACAAAACAAACAAAATTGAACATCCCTGACCTCGTGGAGCTTACATTGCCGCAGAGAGATGGGAAAACAAAATTTAAAAAGCTACTTGCAGTCAGAAGGTTGAAGTTTTCCAAAAGGAATTTTGATGAGAAACTTAAGGGGCACTCAGTAGGACAGAGTGGCTTCGGTAGAACCCTGGTGTGGGGCGCCTGGGTGGCTCAGATGGTTAAGCATCTGCCTTCGGCTCAGGTCATGATCCCAGGGTCCTGGGATCGAGTCCCGCATCGGGCTTCCCGCTCCTTAGGAGCCTGCTTCTCCCTCTGTTTCTCTCTGTCTCTCATGAATAAATAAATAAAATCTTTAAAAAATTAATTAATTAATTAATTAATTAATTTAAAAAATTAAAAAAAAAAAAGAACCCTGGTGTGGCCGAAGTCCAGCCTCAGAGTGATCCAGTTCTTTCTTTCAGACAAATTCTTCTTTTCTACCTCTTCCCACCTGTAGGGCATATTGTTAAATAACAGACATTCAAGTATATTTTAAAGACCTAATTAGCTCCATTGAACGATTTGGGAATTGGGCAGCATCCCATCTAGCAGGTAGAGAGGTGTTCCAAAGGGCTATGGAAAAGGAAAGGTTTTTAAAGGCAGGACAAGGAAATCACACAGAAAAAAGGATTTTCAAGTGAAGTCACCACCCTTTGGGGAGCAAAGGGGTCTTACTATATTAGGTGGATTACCTCATGGTGCAGAGCAGGGAATTCTGGAATGACCAGTTAAGATTATAGTCCTGGGGGAGGTTGAAAATGCAATCAGGTTAGATATTAAGCCCCAGTGTGGTGGCGTGGGCCAGGCATAAATGACTCCATTTTGGGCCTGGAGTTTTGTTTTGTTTTTTAACAATACTAACAGGTGGCGATTGAGCATTGGAGATGTGGCCAGGATGACTGAAAACTGAGTTTGGTGGGGTTTCGTTTCAATTTTGGTAATTAATTTAGAATTTTTTAAGATTTTATTTATTTGACAGAGAGAAAAAAGGAGGGAGGAGAGAGGGAACACAAGCAGGGGGAGTGGGGGAGGGAGAAGCAGACTCCCCGCCGAGCAGGGAGCCCAATGTGGGGCTCGATCCCAGGACCCTGGGATCATGACCTGAGCCAAAGGCAGACGCTTAACCAACTGAGCCACCCAGGCACCCCTCAATTTTGGTAATTGAAATGTAAATAGTCATGTGCAGCTCATGGCTACTGTGTTGGAGAGTGTTGTCATAGAACATCATTAGAAACTGGAAGACAGCGGTGCCTGGGTGGCTCAGTCAGTTAAGCATCTGCCTTCAGCTCAGGTCATGAGTTCACGGTCCTGGGATCAAGTCCCACATCGGGCTCCCTGCTCAGCGGGGAGCCTGCTTCTCCCTCTCCCTCTGCCCCTAACCCCCTCTTGTGTTCTCTCTCTGTCGCAAATAAATAAATAAAGTCTTTAAAGAAAAAAAAAGAAAGAAAGAAACTGGAAGACATTTTACTGTGAAAAATCTGCCACTTTTACCCTTGGAAAATATGTATACTTGGATTACTTTCCATTCTACTGGGTTTAACAATGGGTTTTCGAACGTCTGCTCCTTTGATACCTCATTCCATCATCAGCCCGATGTGCGTTCATTCCCATCTGTGATCATTAATTGGGATTTATTTCGAAATAAAGTCATTTCATTTTTCATCACAGGGTCATCAGAATCTGCCAAAATAGGAGGAATAGTTACTATGTTTTTCATAGCTGCTGTCTTCATAAGCACCATAATAATACTGAAACGGGTTGGTTATATATGCTTAAGAAGTGATTTCCCCAAAGTTTTGGTATGTAGTCTCTTTTTAAGTTTCTATCTTTATTTTTTATTGTAATTTAAGGATTTTTATTATACTCTCAAATATCTTCACAGCAGAAAAAAATCCCATTTTCTAAAAACACCAAGCTGTTTTATCACTGAATGATACCCCAATATATATGTGTCTATATTTCCATTTTCTGTTTTCTGTTTATGCTTTGCCCACATAATATTTTTAATGATCGTCTTGTATTCCGTTGTCATTAACGTATTATCTTTCCCTTAATCATTTTCCAGCTGTAGGGCATTTGAAATGATTTCTTTTCCTTTCTTTTTCTTCTTTGGCCTTGATGAATAACGCAACATGTTTCATTAACATTTTTTGTAAAGATCATCTTTCAGTTTGGATTATGTCAGTGGAATGTGTACACAGGTGGATTTATCTTAAAAAAAAAGATAAAGGATTAATTTATACTGCCAGTGGCGACATGTAGTTATACACATTTTACACATTTCTCCAAAGCTCTGCTGACATTGATTAATCATTTTTACAACTTTGGTTCATGTATCGTGTGTATAAAGGTCACCAGCAATTGCTCTCATTTGTGTTACTTTAATTATTAGTGAAACCAGCGCCTCTGTTTGTCTTCATTTTTCCGTCTGTGCTTCCCCAGGTTCACGCTTTCTGCTCAGAGCCTCGACCACTCAGACAAGTCTGGGGATTGATCTTACATATTTCCAAAACCTCCTCATGGCTTTTGACACATCTGCCCATTATGTATCATTTTCTGTGTCCCATTGCTGTCTTTCCATAGTCGTTCCATGATTTTTCAGTCAGAAAGGTCTCATGTTGCTCTGTTTGAACTCATTTCACCTTTTTCTTCTCATTTTTTAACAACCACATACTTAAATATTCCTCCACGGTCGATAAAAGTGTACTCTTCTTTTTCTTGTTCTTATTTGTTCCAGTTGGGGGAGGGATTGTTTATTGGGTGGAGTGTTTGTGCTTTGGGAGATTTTAATTACAACTGGTATTTGAACCCAGCCGGCATTTGGCTCTTGCCTTAGGAGATGTAGATGGCTCTGTACTGCATTTCATCCACACTGTGATCCCTGCCTTTCAAGAACGGACATTTTTTTTAAATTTATTTATTTATTTGAGAAAGGGGGTGCAGAGCATGCATGGGTGCGCAGAGGCGGGAGGCGCAGAGGGAGAGGGAGAATCTCAAGCAGACTCCCCGCTGACTGGGAGCCCAGTGCAGGGCTCTATCCCACCACCCTGAGATCATGACCTGAGCTGAAACCAAGAGTCAGACGCTTAACCGACTGAGCCACCCAGGCGCTCCAAGAATGGACATTTTTTTATGCTCGGTGTAAAATATCTTTGGTTTTAGGCAAATCCTACTCCAATTCCTATTTCTCACCACAATCTTGAGATAAAAAGGCCTTTCGCACCACACCCATTCCCTCCTAGATAAATTCCTGCCTGGATTACCTAAACTGGCTACTAATCCTCCGTCCAAGTCTTCCTGGAGTTCCTCCCCTCCCTAAGATGCGTGCAAATTATATGCTAAGTATATATATATACTTAGCATTATTTATTGTGTTGACCCAAGTACTGGGAGGAGGTGTTGATAACTTGTGTCTTTCTAGTATTCCTCCATTAAAAATTGTTACTCTGACTATAGACCCCAGGAAACAAACTGAGGGTAATTACAGAAGGGAGGGGGGTGGGAGGATGGGGTAACCGGGTGATGGGTATTAAGGAGGGCATGTGTTGTGATGAGCACTGGGTGTTATACGCAGCTAATGAATCACTGAACACTACATCAAAAACTAATAATGTATACTATACAGAGGCTAACTGAACGTAATAAAAAAATAAAAGGAAAAAGGGTAAATGACTAAAAAAAAGTAAAACTCTAGGAATGGCAAAACAGAACACTCAATGCCTAGTGTATTTGTGTATATGTGTTTACTCAAGAATACATGTTAAAAATTTTTAATGGCATCTTTTTTTATTTTTTTTCTTCTTTCGTTTTTTTGGTTTTTTGGTTTTTTGGTGTTTGCATTTAATAAATATTTATTGAGTATCTACCATGTGTCCACATGCTCTAGGCACTAGGGATACAAAAGTGAACAAAACAGAGGGAAAATCCTGCCCTCCTAGATCTTAAAGTCGGAGGAGTAAGGGTAGAGACAATGATAATTTATAGCCCCGAGGGGCTCTCACTTCTGGCGCCAAGCGCCCGGTCAAAAAAAAAAAAAAGATAATTTATAGATGATATAACCGGTGAAGTAAAAACTTCACATGAATCTAGAGATCAATTATTAAGATTAATAAGTTTAACAGAGTTGGTACATATGGAATAATAAAAATAAAAATAAACATGAAGCTGCTTTTCAACTTCCAAGAAATTAAATACACAAATCATAGTGTAAAACTCCGTGAATTTTCACGAACTCAGTGCATCCATGTAACTCATGCCTAAATCAAGAAAGAGACTATAATCAGCCTGCCCAGAAGTCTCTCTCCTGACACCTTCTAGTAAGTACCCCCCACCAAGAATAACCACTGTCCTGATTACTAACAGCATAGATTAGTTTTACCTGGTTTTGAACTTGGAATCCTACAGTTAAGTGGAATCCTATAGTTTTTTAAAAATACCATTACAGGGGCTCCTGGGTGGCTCATTTGGTCAAACATCTGCCTTCAGTTCGCTCAGGTCATGATCTCGGGGTCCTGGTGTTGAGCCCCACATCTGGCTCCCTGCTCAACAGGGAGTCTGCTTCTCTCTCTGCCCTTCCCCCCTGCTCGTGCTCTCTTGCTCGCTCACTCACTCTCTCTCAAATGGATAAATAAAATCTTTTAAAAAAATTTTTAATAAATAAAAATAAAAATCCATTACAGTAGTAATAAAAAATATTCTTAAAACATTTAAGGAATCAATCTAATAGAAGACATTACAGGTCCTTTGTGGAGAAAATTATAAAACCTTATCGAAAGACAGTAACAAAGATATGGTCAAGTAGAGAGCCCAAAACCAGACCCACACGTATGGAAACATGACTAATGATGAGTAGATATTGCCATGGGGAAAGAATTGGCTGGTCAATAAATGTATCTATATGGGAGAAGATGAAATTGGTCTCTCTACCTCACACCATACACAAATATCAGTTCCAGGTATATTAAAGACTACTGTGAAAGGCAAAACTGTTAAAGGTTTAGGAGGCATGATAGGAGATTCTATATGACACTGGGGTAAGGAAGATTCCCTCCGACACAAAAAACAGAACCATAAAGGAAGAACATCGATACTTTTTTTTACATTGAGAATTTCTTTTCATCGAATGTCATTGATGATGTAAAGCAATAAACCACAGGCTAGGGGAAAATATATGTAACAAATAATCATAATAACATAAATAATCAACAAATAATCAGCATCCAGATTATATAAAGAGCTCCTATGAATCAATAAGAAAAAAGATGAACAACCCAATAGAAAAATTCACCCCAAGGCTGGGTTGGGTAGTAGGGGAAGAGCAGGTTTGTCAAATTGGGCAACCCAGGTAGGCATAGGAGAATAGAGAGGAAGACGATGCCGATGACGATTCAGGATTGACCACCTCCTCCCCATTAGCCTCACCGTAGTTAACCTAGAGACAGAATCCACCAACAGCGCAAGACTCAGCCTGCCTTGTATTCTCCAGCGCTAGCCCTGCTCAGCTGTATCCTGGCTGTGCTCTGTCCCAAGAGCTGGAACAGAATGAGCTCTGTGAGTCTTGCCATTCTCACCCCCTGACTCTTTAGGGATCTTACTCCACCTTTGAGGTCCTCCAGTCCAGGGAACCCCGATGGAATCGGCTTCCTAGCAACTCTCCTCACTCACGGTTCCCTGACACCCCTTAAGAATGTCTTGGCAATCCAGAATCTAAATGGATCGATCCCCCTGACATGCAAGAAGCAGCGAGGGGAGCAGGGTAGGAAGGAGTAGAAGCCAGAACCTCGTCCCTGCTGCAGGCAGCCTACCTAGCTTGAAATCCAGCCTCCCCCACTCATTATTCATGAACCTTGGGCAAGTTTCTTTACCTCTCTGCCTTGTTTTCTCACCTATAAAATGGGGACAAGAAGCATAAGCCCAATTCATGGCACAGTTGTGAGGGTAAAATGCATTATAAGGCTAAGCACTAGGACCAGCGCCTGGCAAATAGTAAGTAAGCACTACGTAACTATTAGCTCTTGTTACTGAGTTTTATTATGTCAAAAAGTACAGAACAATGGGCGCCTGGGTGGCTCAGTTGGTTGGGCGACTGCCTTCGGCTCAGGTCATGATCCTGGAGTCCCGGGATCGGGTCCCGCATCGGGCTCCCTGCTCGGCAGGGAGTCTGCTTCTCCCTCTGACCCTCCTCCCTCTCATGCTCTCTGTCTCTCATTCTCTCTCTCTCAAATAAATAAATAAAAAATCTTTAAAAAAAAAAAAAAAGTACAGAACAAACAGAATTGATACTTTCTCTCTCTCTCTCTCTCCCTCTTTTTTTTTTTTTTTAAGAATTACAACTCGTCAGCCTGGGTATTCCCTGAGATGCCACCAGTGGAAGCAGTGGCTTTCGTGGAGGTGATTCACGTTAACAGGAAGAAGAAGGTGTGGAATTACAATTACGACGACGAGAGTGACAGCAATGATGAAGCCACAGACCCTGTGACAAGCACCGGTGGCTATACCAAGCATGGGCTAATGGGTGGGCTTCTCCGTCCCACCTCTGCCTCCTTGGCCACGTGCGGGGACTGCCTGGAGCCCAACACTGAGGAGGCTGACCTGTCTGAGCAGGACTCTGAGCCGCTGATGACACCAGGGCCCTGCCCCAGGTGGTCGGAATGCGCAAGTGGGGCCTACAAGGGGGGAGGGAAGCTGCTACAGGACCCCCTTTCCGAGGAGGACAGCAGCTCCATGGAAGAGGCTGGGGACAAAATTACCTTCAATGTAAATCTAAGCTCTGTGTTCGTGAGCGCCCTCGATGATGACTCAGAAGTCCCTCCAGGGTTACCAAGTTTTCCAGAAGAGACGTTCGACCTCGAGGATTCCCATCAACTGGAAACAGGTTTTCTGGCGGCCCACGGGGAAGGGACACAGCCACCCTCCCCCACCCCCTCTGCAGAGTGCCCGTGGCCTGAAGATGTGCTTTCTGATAAAAGTGACAGTTCTGAGTCAGATGTTGACATCAGGGACGGCTATATAATGAGATGAACCCCCAGAATATTTAATGAACGTGGAATGACCAATACCTTCATGGTTTCCCCCCCTGCACTGCCACTTCTCCCTTGTGGTCTGCAATGTTCCCAGGGAAAGTGTTGGAGACTTCGGCTGGCTCCTCCGGGGCGGGGGGGCGGGGGGGGGGGGGTTCCTGGTGATGGCATCTATGCAAATTACCAGTGTGGGAGAGGAGTCGGAACCGGAACCAGACCTGCGGATCCTTCAGTGCCTTGTTTACATGTGGTTTGCAGGGGTGGTCCAGGGCCCTGCAAGATTTCTGGGAAATAATGAAATTAGCCAGGGTGGGAGTGGGGAAAGAAAAGAAAGACACTCAGCGGGGTTCTGAGCAGGTGCAGGAGCAGTCTGCAGTGTTGAGTCCAGCAGGCTCAAGGAAGGAGCCAGAAAGCAGGCAGGAAAAGAGAAGGAAGGGAAGGCAGCCGGAGGGAAAGGCAGGGGACCCACAAAGAAACAGAAGCACATCTTGGAAGGAGGGAAGGTCCAGCCCAGTCTAGGGCTCCTCCCACATGTAGTATTCTGTCATCTACACTCAGAGAATTTGGCTCTCGGCCACTTGGCCAGCCCTCCTCAATCTGAGTGAGGAAGACAAACTCACACACATCAGTAACTCTAGCGTCAGGCAGGTGACTAATAGGAAACATTTGCATGAGAGAGGGGGATAGAATCTCAGTGCCAAATTTTAAAATAAAAAAAAAAAAAAACGAGAACAAATGGAAAATTGTTTCAAAGTCTTCAGAAGAGATAAGTCACAAAATTTCTGGAGAGCCTATTTAACAATTTAAGAAGTGATGTGTGCACTGATTCCAAGTGTCCTATGTGTGACCAAAGTTCCTGTGTTGGAGGGGGAGGGAGGGAAGTTCTAGAACATCATGTAGCAAACCACACAAGAACTGGGACTCAGGTCTGACTCTGCTGCTCTTTCCCTGTGTGACCCTGGGTACTTTGCTTAGCCTCTCTGAGACTCAGTTTCTTCATTTAGGAAATAAAGGGATTGGACTAGGTAATCTCCAAGATCCTGTGGTGCTAGGAGAAATATTAGAAAATACATAGGAATGAAGACTCTGGTGGAGGTGCTACAACCCTGAGAAGCCCCCAGGGTGAACCAACTCTATGGGACCTCCTATCTCATTCCCCTTGCCCCAAGAGCAGGCTTCTCAGACCTTTCTTCTAGATCAATTCAAAAGGGGGAAAACAACTATTATGCGTCCTAGTTCAAGGACTTTGAAGAGATTGTTTTTATGACTGTTCAAAAGTAACTCAAAAGAGGGATGTGAGAGGAGAAGGGATTATTTAATGACATGATGAAATTCCATAGGAAGGGGACCTTTTCGTGTGACCAGTTCAATTCTCTGCCCTCTTAAATCATCTCTCATATTTTGAAAGCTTTCCAGAGTGATCTTTTGGAATACCCTTTTTATAGCTTTTATGCGTGTGTGTGTTTTATATTTTGTATAATTGAAGCTGGTGAAGGATAAATACTTTTTAATAAAACTTGGTTATGTCCTCAGAGTTGTTTCTCATTAGAGAGTGTAAAAATGCAGCCGCTTTGTGGTTCTGCTGGCATCTCTAGAGTTAAACAAAAGTCCCTCTGTGTGCCAGTGCCGGGAGGGGCCAAGGGAACATTCATCCTCAGGGGCTATGTTCCTGGTGGTCAGACCTCAAGCAGTACCTTACATCACTCTGTACTTACCCTGCTCTGGGTTTTCCAACCTCACCACTGCCCAAGCTTTGAAAGAGGAAATTAAACTTCTTTCAAGCAGTCTTGTGAGAGTAACAAGTTTTTGCCCCATAAACGACTTGGTTTTGTGTGGTGTTTATCCCTGGGTGGGAGGGGGTAAAGAAGACCCTTTCAAACTGTCCTTGCTAATGGAGAGCTTTAAAATCAACCTATTTGCGGGCAGAGGGGATCATAGAGAAAACTTGGAGAAAGTTTTCACTGGAGAAAACTTGGGGAATACTGAATGGTGTCAAGAAAAACCACCACCACCCATAACCCCAGATAGAATCTCTGGGTGGGCGTTGTAGTGTATTTATTTAACTTGGAAAAGCATGCATTTAATGTTGGGGGAGGCGTCTCCCCAATCGGGGCACGGTACGTACAGTTTTGCTACTGGTCTTTTGCACCCCCCGCTTTGGGGGAAGCAAGGTCCCCTCCCTCCGCGTCTCCCTACGCCCCGCCAGGCCCCGGGGACACCGCCCTCTCCCCGCAGCAAAGCGAGGCGCTGGACTCCGACCGGGGCGGGGCCCAGGGAGGGGGCGGGGTCTCGTCTCGCCCCGCCCCCCAGTACCCGGAAGCGGCCTCGGCGCGGGGTGGGGTGGACCGGCCGGCGCTTCGGGGCGCGGGCTGGGGGGCGCTTGCCCGGCAGCTGCCGCGGCCCCCCCCGCCGAGCGCCCGCCCGGCTCCCGGCGCCGCCATGCCGAGGAGCCTGCGGAGCTGGCTGGGCGGCTGCCTCCTGATGTCAGGTGAGGGGTCCGCGGGGAGGGGGCGACGGCCCGACGTGCGCTTGGGAACTGAAGGCCGAGCTACGACGCCGGCAGCGATGGCCCCAAGGCGACCCCTGAGCGGACCCCAGAGGCGCACTGGAAGTGATCGGGTGCCGGGTCCGGCCGTCAGGGCTTCCCATTCAGTCCTCAGCACCCCAACATCTGAGGTCTGCCCCTCAACTCCACAGCTCTGTGCCTTCGGAGTTCTAAATCCACTGAAACCTTTGCTGCCCTCCTCTAAATTTCCTGCCTGGGTTCAAACAACGACGGGCCCCTCCTTGCTTTCTGATGAATTCATCCCTGGCCTTCCAGGATACCGCAGGCTCCTGGTTTTCCTCCTATCTCTCGGGCTGTTTCTACCTAGCATCCTCCACCTCTGCCAGATCTCTGTATAGCCCAGTTCTTGCCCAGGCCCTCCACCCTCCCCTCACGCTATCCCTGTAGGGGATGCCAGCAGAACCCTGGCATTAAATACCAGCCATAGGCCCGTGACTCAAATGTGAATCTCTGTTGGCACCCTTGCGTGATGGGCCGGTGGTGGTTTATCATACTCTTCCGTCTGCTTTTGTGTGTGTTTAATATTTTCTATTAAAAAGTTTAAAAATGATTTCTGCCTCTAGCCCAGATCTCTCCTTTATGCACAGGCTCCTTTCTCCAGCTGTCTGGGACATTCCTGTGTGCATCTGTCTCCAGCATCTCAGACCTAATGCAGCTAAAATGGGACTGTTGATGTCCTTGCCCCCAGCCCCAATCAGGGGTTATAATTGTATAATTGTATAATTGTAATGTAAAAAATAAAAGCATAATTCAGATGCTTAAGCCAGGAATGAATATTAACTTCTCCACACCAAAAGTATCAGAAAGTCTAGAGTCTGTACCTCTGGAAATATATCTAAAATCCATCTGCCCCACCTTTCTCCCATCACCCAAATCCTGGTCACCCCATCTGTCCCTATTTCACTCTTGCTCTCTGTCCCACCCCAACCTCCAACACCCCCCACCCCCACCCCAGCATTTCTTCAGATAAAATCCAGACTCCTCAGTACAGCTAATGTGTGTCTCTTCTTCCTTCACCCACATGCCCATTTGAAGACATGGAGCCATAGGGGAGACCCAAGTGTTGGATATAGTCATTTACTTGTGCAACTTTTTTGAGGAACAAAGATGCAGACTTTTCCCTTTTATTTTTACAGCATTAGGAATGGTGCCACCTCCTGAAAATGTCAGAATGAAGTCAGTTAATTTCAAGAACATTCTACAGTGGGAGTTGCCTGCCTTTCCCAAAGGAAATCTGACTTTCACAGCTCAGTACCAAAGGTGAGTCTGGGTGCTCTTGGAGGGAAGGCCCTGAGCTGGTCACTGGGCCAGACCACAAGAGAGAGTCTGACTGCTCTCACCCGCATGACCATGACAGCCCTTAGGGAACCTCCCTGCTGACCTTTTTCTTTCTGTCCGGGAAATTCTTGTGAAAGTTCTGTTCTCTGAGAAGATACAAGTCTTTTTTACTTTTTCTTGTTGGGATGGTTCACCGTTTGATGACCACAGAGCCACTGGTATGTACGGGACGTTTGATCATGTGGCTGAGGATGTCATTGGCCATAGTGGTAGCCTATTGCAACACAAGGATTTGTCACAATTGATGTTTTTTAAGAGAAAAAATGTCACTGAGATCATCCCCACTTAGGAGAGCAGTATTGCTCGAAGTCAATGATTTGCAAGTGGGAGCCATCCAGGAGAACAGGTATGCAAAGCAGGTTGGCCCTTGCCGTGCTACCACCCATCCCCTCCAGCAGATTATAACAGAACACCGCCGTGCTGTGGGGTGCAGATGATTTGCATAGTGGGTGCTTAGTTACTCTGTGGCTATGTCCTAAAGAAAGATTTTATTTACTTATTTGAGAGAGAGAGAATGAGAGAGAGCACATGAGAGGGGATAGGGTCAGAGGGCAAAGCAGACTCCCTGCCGAGCAGGAGCCCGATGCGGGACTCGATCCAGGGACTCCAGGATCATGACCTGAGCCGAAGGCAGTCACTTAACCAACTGAGCCACCCAGGCGCCCCTGTGGCTGTGTCCTAAAATTGAAAGTAAGACACCTGGCTACTGGCTGTGAAAAGCTCTAGCCTCTGAAAGCATCAGAGGCTTATGAAGGAAGGGTGAGTGTCAGCAAGACAGTTATCCCAGTGGTGTTCTGACCTCCCAGGACCTGCCCTGCCGGTCGGTTTTTCCCTCTGTCAGCCCTCCCTCAGCAGCTTGCCATCGTGCACCACCGGCTGCATGCAGGTGACGCACCTTTATGCCAAGTGCAAACAGCAGCAGGGGGCCAATGGGTGATAAGCCAACACACCTGCTTCCAACGTGACTCAGAAACATACAAAGATAGGCAGTCCCTTCGATGAAGCAGGAGGAAACAAGGTCCCAGATCCCATTAATCCCACACTCCTTCTCCTCCAGATTTCTTTTACAAACATATCCCAGGCCTGCTGAGGCAGAGAAGACGTAGGAAGATGAATAAGATAGTCTTTGTTGACTTTTTCGGGCACTTTTTAGTTCGAAGTAATTCCCCGCTAACAGAACATTTTAACATTTCAAGGACAGGGGCGCCTGGGTGGCTCAGTCGGTTAGGCGTCTGCCTTCAGCTCAGGTCATGATCCCAGGGTTCTGGGATCAAGCCCCACGTCGGGCTCCCTGCTCAGCAGGGAGTCTGCTTCTCCCTCTCTGCCTGCTGCTCCCCCTGCTTTGTGCTCTTTCACTCTGACAAATAAATAAATAAAATCTTAAAAAAAAAAAAAAAAAAGATTTCAAGTAGAGTGCAAAGAACTTCCAAATAGCTTATGTCCAGATTCACCGATCTTTAAGATTTGCCACATTTCCTTTCTCCCTCTCTCTCTGTCTTACATCATGCCCTTTGCCCCTTAATATTTCATGGTGAATTTCCAAAGAGCAAGGATAATCTTTTACATTACCACCTACAGCTATCAAGGTTGGCTGTTTAACGTTGGGGCAGGACTTTCATCTGACCTACAATCCTTAGTCCAATTTGTCAGTTTACTCAAGGATTTAGGACAGGTGATTCTGCCGCTGATTTTTCCCTGCTGTGTATTTTCTACCACTGATTGGTTTGATAATTTCATGTCTGTTTCTGCAGTCTTGACAGCTCTAGAGATTTCACTGTGCAAAATTAACCTCCCTCTCTCTCTCCCCCCATCCGTTTATCCTTTGTTGTTCTGTTCTGTGCCCTTATAGTAGAGGTATTTGGTTGGGATGTCCATCTTGTAGGTACGAGTTCCTAGTGGCTTCCCAGCAACCAAGAGTCAGGTATCCTTAGCACAGAAGTGCAGACTGAGCATGAGATGTGCTGGGAAAAACAAAGCATGTGCTGGGGGTGTCCTTGTGTCTAGATCAAGAAATTTGATCTAGAAAAATCTGATTACTGTTTTCCATAGCTTGTGAAAGACTTGTTTAGAATTCAGCTTGAGAGGTTGGGTAGAACAGACTCTCTTATATGTGTACATGGGGCAGGGGTGACCCGAGGCGTGCTTGGGAGGATGGATTGGTGATTTGACTATGGAAACATCTTTGAAAACCTGAGATGTAAATGTGGAGAATGGGTTATATGACCTATTTAATGGGGAGAAAAATATATATATTTTTAAAGATTTTATTTATTTATCTGACAGAGAGAGACACAGTGAGAGAGGGAACACAAGCAGGGGGAGTGGGAGAGGGAGAAGTAGGCCTCCCGCTGAGCAGGGAGCCCGATGCGGGGCTCGATCCCAGGACCCTGGGATCATGACCTGAGCCAAAGGCAGACGCTTAACGACTGAGCCACCCAGGTGCCCCAAGAGAAAAATATTTTTAAATGCCATAAAAATGACCTGGGGAGAGAGAAGTTATTGCAAAACAACTTCTGGAATATTCCATGTTCCAGCCACTTGACACGCTAGTTTAAATGAAGGAAGTGGCCACGTGTGGGGAAGCCCCCTTCGTGCCATGACCCCTGGAGTCTCCAAATGGTGGGATGTTAGGCAGCCCATGAAGAATTGATTGACGAATGTTTGTGGTATAGTACATGAAAAGAGCAGATTGTAGAATAGTCTGAGCCCAATTATCTCTACCTACTTTTAGCCAGAAATTGTTCTGGGCATCGCCAAGAACGTGGTGAGGTGTGGTGCTTAAGACTGTGGGCTCTGAAGTCAAACCGATCCCAGCTCCATTGGGCAAGTTTCTTAGGTTCTCCATACCTGCGCCCCATCTATAAAATAGGAGTGATCCCCATTCTGCCCTCCTGGGCTTGTGAATTCAGTGAGGTAATACAGATAAAAAACACTTCCTGCCCTGCCTGACACCTAAGTGCTTGACAAGTGGGCTGTTACTATTTTTATCACTTTCGTTGTCACCTCTAAGGGCGGCCAAATCGGAGGAAGGTACACTGAGGAACCAGTCAGGCCAAACCCCCCCTTTTTGCGAGACAGGAGCCTGGGTGTCCTCGGGTCAGGTGGAGCTGATTACACCTCCTCAGGTGGTCGCGAGGTGGTCACACACACCTGTCGGTCTTCCCAGACATCCTTTTCCTTCTTCAACTTCACGTTTCTGCCACCCTCCCTTCAGGAGTAGGTGTCAGGGCTGGAGCTCTGTTTTAAACACATTGTATAAAACAAATCTGTATAAGAACAAATCGTTGCATAGTTTTTCCAGAGTAGTTGCAGCAATAGTCATTTTCGGGACACTATTTAGCTAATCTGTGTATACAGTATTCACAGACCATGTCCCTCTGCTTTCATAAACAGCATAATCAAGGAGGGAAGCTTTCTTGGTCAAATATATTGAAGACTCAACCCCATTTTGGAGAGGCACGTGCTCATTAAGATATGAAAGTCACTGAGGGAGTTCTGTTATGCAGACAGACACCTCTTTATGTTTAACTTTGATTCTGCCCCAAATCATTTGACCATGGGACAGATATATTTTTTTTAATTTTATTTATTTATTTATTTGAGAGGGAGAGAGGGAGAAGCAGACTCCCTGCTGAGCGGAGAACCCAATGCCGGGCTCCATCCCAGGACCCTGAGATCATGACCCAAGCCGGAGGCAGATGCTTAACCGACTGAGCCACCCAGGCACCCAGGGACAGATTATTTTTGAAACTACTTATAATATCTCAAGAATCACTGAAATCCCATGGAGCACAGTTGGGGAAATGCTCATATAAATGATGCATGCTATTCATCAAAAGTGATGATTAAGAATTCAGTTTATTTTTCTCACATTATCCTACATTATCCTTTGGTAGTAGGGGTTAATAAAGCACCCGTCAGCCCCAGAGAGACTGAAGTGAGAATTTTCATGGTTTTATTTTTCTGATTTTACAGTTATAGGAAATTCCAAGATATATGCACAAGTACTGCCTTGACGGAATGTGATTTCTCAAGTCTTTCCAAGTATGGTGATCACACCTTGAGAGTCAGGGCTGAATTTGCAGATGAGCATTCAGACTGGGTAAACATCACCTTCTGTCCTGTGGATGACAGTAAGCCACTTTCTTTTCCATTTCATTGTAATGCCATCATCATGCCTTGGTTTTCTTTCCCCATGGGGTAGCCTGGTCAGGGAGGATTCTTTGAGCACCCACAGAGTGGGTGGCCTTGCACAAGGAGCGTAGGGGTTATAATAAGGAGGGCTATGGCCAGAAAGAAGTCTATGGGAGAGACAGGAAGGGATGGTCATAAAGTTAATACAATAATTAAATATAAATATATTAACATTAATGCCTTATGGGTGAAGAATGAGTTGAGGCCAGTGTTGTTAATGAGAAGAACTGGAAGGATTAATGTAGTACATTTTCTGGGAGGAAGTCAGTTTGGAGTCAGGATAGAAGGAAATGTGACATGACAGGCAGAAGAATAAAGGTTATTCGAGGCAGGTATAGAGAGACAGGAAGACAACCAGGTAGACAGCCAGTCTGCCCAGAATGAAGGCCAGAGCAATGGATTCGACTAATGACAGATGTGTTGGGTCAGGCTGGCTGGTAAGCATCTGAAAGAATGTTCCCAGGTTAGATCTGGCGGGTCATGGGGATTCACCAGAGGTCATGAGGTGAACATAATTAGAACATCAGGAATTGGAAATGAATGAAACCACCTTATAGCAATTGAGACAGTAAGAGGATGAGGGGTGACAAGAACCTCATGAACAAGACTCAAGTGCAGCCTTCCAAGGAGAAGCTCCAGGAAAGCACTGGAAGGATTGTGTCTGTGCGGTGCGGGGTCTTTATACCACTCCCTGCTCTGGACCCCCATGGCTCCCACAGTTTTGCCTTCCCTGGTGGGGAATGCAGCTGGGATACCCTTCTGTTCTTTCCCAATTCTGTCCTAGGCTTGACAACAAAACTCTTATTTCTGGAGTCAGAAATTATCAAAGTTATATTATCTTTTCTAAAGGTATCTTTATAAAAGCTAAGAAAAATCAACATTAAAAAAATACAAGCAGCTTAGTAGTCAAATTTCCAAAACATAGTACAGGTTTCTGCTCCTGTAATTGCTAACTGACTTACCAGGTCCTGGCTGGTTCCAATTCCTATGTTGGGCCCATCTGCGGAAATTCCCTCTAGAAATTAATACAGAATAGAAAAGCAGCTTGCCCAAAGGTCATACAGATAAGGAATGGCCCAGTAAGGATTCAGAGCCAGGCCCCTGAGGCCCCTGTGTCTATGCTCTTAGCAACAGTTACCCTACTTTAGATCCTTGCCTCTTGAAGTTTCTATGACAGGAAAGTGCTGCAAGAAGTCACAAAGAATCTGTTTATACTTGCTTTGAAAAGATCTCTAATAAATTTTATTATCTGGTTCTTAGCTACCAGCAGATTAAAGACAAGGTAAAATGCTGGAAGCAGTCCCATTAACAGCTTCAAAAAATAAAAAATAAAAATAAGAATAACAGCAGTCAGAGAAGAAAACAGGATATAACTCAAATAGCACAGTTGCCCAGAGATGTTTATTATTCATTGTACAATTATTATTGAGCAGCTACTATATGCCAGGCACATTCTTAGTGCAGAAGCTATAATAGCAAGACAAAATCCCGGCCCTCAGGAAGCATACACTCTAATGGGGGGAAGACAGATAAACAAATAGATAACATATTTTATGACAGATGTGACTGTGGCTCTCAAGGAAATAAAGCAAGGTACCAGGGCAGGATATGTTGGGAGCTGCTCTTTACATAGGGTGGTAAAAAGTCTCTCTGAGGAGGTGACATTTGAACCGAGACCCAAACGAAGCAAAGGGGCTAGCCACATGAATATCCAATAAAAGAGCATTTGGGCAGAAACAGCTACAGACTTTTTTGGAAAGTGTGTATGATTAATTATGTATGTTAGACACTAAAAGTAGTAGAAATACCATCTGTAGCTTCCAACCCAGCAAAGGAAATAAAGAAAATTCGACCCAGTAGGGCGCCTGGGTGGCTCAGTTAGTTAAGCGACTGCCTTCGGCTCAGGTCATGATCCTGGAGTCCCGGGATCGAGTCCTGCATTGGGCTCCCTGCTCGGCGGGGAGCCTGCTTCTCCCTCTGACCCTCCCCCCTCTCATGTGCTCTCTCATTCTCTCTCTCAAATAAATAAATAAAATCTTTAAAAAAAAAAAAAGAAAAGAAAATTCGACCCAGTAGAAATCAAAAACAGGAGAGAAACAAACCACAAAAAAAAAAAAAAGTCTTTATAGAAAACCCAAAATATCAGAAATCACAATAAATATAAATGGACTAAACTTGATTAATAAAAGGCTATCAGATTTTTTTTAAGAAACAAAATCCAACTACCTTCCTTGACCATGTCAATCAATGTCGTAGCAAACTTACATCAAACACCAGGGTCCTTCAGTCGACCAGTTGGTCTGCACAGTTATGAAAAATAAATGTTGATGTTTTTAAAATGTGATTTTTGACTGTCATTTTGCTTTGTTCTCTTCCTCTTAGCCATGATTGGACCACCTGGAATGCAAGTAGAAGCACTTGCTAATTCTTTACATATGCGTTTCTTAGCCCCTAAAATTGAGAATGAACCTGAAACATGGACCATGAGGAATATTTATAACTTGTGGGTTTATAATGTGCAATATTGGAAAAATGGTTCTGACGAAAAGGTAAGCTCAGCAAATCATATGCATTTCAGACGTAGGCTCCCCTTCTTTGCCTAGTGTTAGTCTGAGGCCATGATAATGGAGAAAGGAGGCTAGGAGGCCATCCAGTCAGGGTCTTGAAAGGTGGTAGCACCTTATGGTCCAGAGGATCTAAGGCCTGGTCCTCTGAGTGCCAGAAGCTTCCCAGTCTGAGGGATACCTGGTATTTGGCTCATGCTTCCCAGGCCCCAAGGGAAATGCATAGAGCAGACTTCAGGGTGTTAGCACAGAGCAGGCCTTTCTCTCCCTGAAGGGAAGTTGCAGAAGGTGGGTAGAGCTGACTCAACAGTTGGCTGGTGGAAGCTGCAGTCAGCTGAATCAGGTGACATGCTGCATGACTGCTATTTTATGGTCTGAAACTCAGATAGCATATATATATCATGGGGTCTGTGCCCCATGTATACCATAGAATAGTCAAGTCCATGGTCAGGGCAGTCCCACCCCTGGACGCTAGATGAACAGTGTCACATTTTACCTGTCTGACCCCAGTTTTCGCCATTGCTCTCCTCCTCTTCAGGGGATGGTTCCTTTAAAAACATGAGCTAGGAGTCTGACCTGGTTGGAATGTTGCTCCTGCCAATGTGACTCTAGTCACATTCTTGACCTCGGCTTCCTCATGCCTACAAGATGGGCATAACGCACTTCATGGGGTGCTTGTGTGGCTCTATCAGTTAAGCATCCGACTCTCGGTTTCAGCTCAGGTCATGATCTCAGGGTCGTGGAATCAAGCCCCACATTGGGCTCCACACTCAGCACAGAGTCTGCTTGAGATTCACATGCTCTCTGTCTCATAAATAAATAAATAAATAAATAAATAAATAAATAAATAAATAAATAAAATCTTTAAAAAAAATAACCCACTTTGTCAATAAAGTGGGGATGATAACCTACTTCACAGGATTTGGGGGAGTTTAAGGACATAATGAAAAAAATAAACTTGTCCGGTTACCTGAACAACATGTATGGTCAATACATGGGCTTTTCCTTCCACTTATGTAGACAGAATAAGGCTATTTTCATTCATCCATGGTCAGGTTTTTCCTTATACTTAGTGCTTCCAAGCTGAATGCTATTTGTGGTCCTAAACTGTCTTACATATATGTTAATATAAGTTAGGTTACATATATGTCATCTCCTCTATATTAAATGTTGGTTCTGTCAATTAATTCTCAAGAGTTTGGGAGGAAAGGGTCACCCATGTGTGTTGTCTTAGGAATTATGTAATCAAATTTATATGTACATACTGCACAGGCCCCCAAAATCTCAAGCTAACTTCCCCCCCAAAATGCCCCATTGAATGTTGCAGGATATCAGCCTTCTTCACCGAATAGATGATTTTGCTTATAGTCAAGCCCCCAGGAGATGTGTGCTTAGAAAGCAATACAGAATGAGGAGTTTTTAAAGATTTTATTTATTTATTCATAAGAGACACAGAGAGAGAGAGGCAGAGGGAGAAGCAGGCTCCCCGCTGAGCAGGAAGCCCAATGCAGGACTCGATCCCAGGACCCCGGGATCATGACCTGAGCCAAAGGCAGACACTTAACCATCTGAGCCACCCAGGCGCCCCAGAATGAGGAGTTTTATAGTCACTTGCCAAATGCAGGCATCTCCACTAAGCTGGGATGCAAAGGTAAGACAGGATTGACCCACTCAGGGACGTAGCAGCGTACTCTCATGAAGGATCCGTTTCCACAGCCTACCACGCCTGCATGCCTCCTGCACCGAGCATGAAGCGCAACACCCAGTTTAGCTTTAGCTTATCTAGAATGTGCCCACAGGATAGGCATCTGGTGACACATTGGTCCTGTTGCTTCCGCCTGCTGTGTGGAAGCCTTTGGTGTGGTGTGCCAAGTGTTAGAAGGGCTGCCTGCTCCCTAGGTCCTCCCTCACGGGTGTCTGCAGGGTCACCAGGACCGGTTTATACACGCTCTAGACTGAATGTTCCTGCCCCCCCACCGAATTCACACGTGGAAACCTAATCCCCAGTGTGACGGTGTTAGGAGGTGGGGCCTTTGGGAGGCAGGGGATTAGCGGCCTTATAAAAGGGACCCCAGAGAGCTCCCCGAGCAGGCCCTTCTGCCCTGTGATGCAGACACAGCATGAAGACTGGCTGGCTGGACCCAAGTTCGCCGGTGCCTCGGTCTTGGACTTCTCAGCCTTGAGAACTGTGAGGAGTACATGTTTGCTGTTTAGGAGCCGCCCGCTGAGTTCTGGTATGGCGCCTACACGGCCTAAGACAATTAGGGTTCCCTTTGAGAACGCAGCGTTAAAAGGCTGCCGTATCCAGTCCCTAAACTCATAGCATAAAAGGCTTCGAGAAATTCTGTTTCTTCCTGATGGGAGAATGTGAACAGATAAAACCAGAAATTGCCCAGGTGTGAAAGACAGCTAGAAAAAGCAATCAGAGGGGACTTGAGCAGGGCTTTTCATGTCCGTCCTTCCCTGGCTGCCGCTGTGGGTCAACCCTGAGCTTAATCCCTGAAAAAATAGCATTGCAAGGTTTTAGGGGTAAGGGATTTCTAGGAATGAAAGCCCGGATTTTTTATTTTTAATTATTAGAAGTTATACCATACTCTTCATGTAGTCAATGGTAGAATCCAATTCTTGTCATCAATGAGCTTGGCTTTCTCCTACAGTAAAGGAATAGAGACAAGTTGTCAACAAACTCAACGCCAAAAGAAAAATAACCAATTACTGAAGTAAAAAAAAAAAAAAAAAGACTCTGTGCTCACTTTCTGTTGAAGTTCCTATTCACCTGACACATTTTTTTTTTTTTTTAAGATTTTATTTATTTATTTGACACAGAGAACATGAGCAGGAGGAGTGGGAGAGGGAGAAGCAGGCTTCCCGCAGAGCAGGGAGCCCGATGAAGGGCTCGATCCCAGGACCCTGGAACCATGACCTGAGCCCAAGGCAGACACTTAACCGACTGAGCCACCCAGGTGCCCCTCACGTAACACATTTTAAATACGACCCTTCTGTCAGGAAATAGAACCATGATGGAAATATGGGTGGCATATACTCTTCTAGTTCCCTTTACTCTGCCGGAAACTGTTTTGGTTTCCCAAACTCAGGAATATATCATCAATGAGGATAGCTTACATTCATACTGAGCAGAGTCAGGGAGGCCGAGGTGTGTGCCTTGCAGAGGAGGCCGGCCGCTGCCGGACGAGGGCATTTCAGGTGCTCACGCAGAGGACAAGTCTAAAGAGAACCCCGGGCTGCCAGGGTCAGAAACTTGCTCTTGGAAGGAAAAATCACATGGAGCGTCACTCTAACGGACCCATGTCGCAGTTCTCGGGCTGCTGTACCAAACTCCCCAAACCCAACAGGAGCGTGTTGTCTCAAGGTTCTGGAGGCTCGAAATCCAAGATCCAGGTGTTGGCAGTGATAGTCCTTCCAAGGGTTGTGAGGAAGAATCTGTTCCATGCGTCTCTCCTAGCTCCCAGATTGCCGGCAATCTTTGGTTCCTTAGCTTGTAGAAGCAACAACCCCATCTCCGGCTCATCTTTACGTGGCATGTGCCTGTCCGTGTCCAGATCTTCTCTTCCTACAAGGATGCCAGTCATGTTGGATTAGGGCTCGTCCTAATGAGCCGATTTCAACGCGATTACCTCCAACTAACTCCCTTTCCAAGATACTGAGGGTTAGGACTTCAACATATGAATGGGGAAGGGGACACAATTCAGCCCATACAACCTAATTCCTTTTAAAAAGGGAGTAGGATGGTTTGTATGGCATCTAAACTAGAGAATTCAGGAAATGAAGTGGTTTGTCAGGACCATGATCATTCCTTGCCCCACGCCTTAAGATGCTATCAGGGTCCCCAGAGATGAACCGGGAGGAACACCTGCTTCCTTCAGCTTCCTATTTTGAGCCCAAAGTAAATATCATAACTGGTAAGATTGGGGGGCGGAAGAGAAGATGGTGTCCCTTCACTGTGGAGGCCTGTTTTTATTTTTGTCTTCGTTCCTAGTGGCCAATGACGTGTCAGTATGACTTTGAGGTCCTCAGAGATCTTGAGCCGTGGACAACTTACTGTGTTCAAGTTCAAGGGTTTCTTCCTGATCGGAACAAAACTGGAGAATGGAGCAAGCCTGTGTGTGAGCAAACAACAGATGACGGTGAGTCTTGAGACACACCAGCTGTAATTCTGCCTCTTCCAAGCCTTTCAAATCGCCTTATAGACACCCACCAAGTGTTAGCGGAATGTTCCTTAGACATGAACACGTCTGGCTCCCAACTTCAAGCCAGGTCAGCTCTGATCAGCTTCCTCTTGGAAGGAAACCACCCCCTTCAGAGGCAGCTCGTTCCCTCTTAGACCCAAGGGCTGGATGGACACGTTTTCCATTCATTGGACGCTGCCTCTTCACGCCCACCCGCACTGTGCTCATTCTGTCCTCTCAGGCCTCCTGATACGAGTCTTATCAGCCCAGCAAGGTCGAGCCCCGCCACACTGCCCAGAAGCCTCCCCTCCCTGGGCTGCATGTCTCCAGCCCCCTCAGCCACACGAGGGAGAGCTTAGAGACCTTGATCACTGTCCCCACCAAGGGCTACTTGTCTCGGCTTCCAGGACCTCAACACAGTCACTCACAGTGCTCCCTATTTTTTAAAAAAAGAGAGAGGGAAGGAGGGGAGGAAGAACAGAGTGGGGGGGAAGAGTACCACTGGCCCGGACACTGTGATCATTTACATACAGACACACTGCATTTGCATACAGGGTGATACAAACTTGCTGCACGCAAACAACAGGCCTTTTTATTATTTAAAGACATCGTGTGAGGCTCAGCCAGCTCAGACTGTGGAAGAATGAATACACGCAGGTCCACTCCTGGCCGTTTTCATTTACCGAGGCTCTCCTGGAAGCGAGGCACTGATCTGGGGGCTGCAGAAATATAGAGGAGAGTAATAATGAATTCCCTCCAGAGAGAACAAAACTTCTCATCCTCTGTGTCACAGGGCAGTTTGGAGAAGATTGCAATGCTTCAGTCTCACTGATTCGTCATTTCTGCTTAGCAAGCTCCTGAGTGTTACTTTCTGGCATTGAACGTATTTCTCACCCAGTTTTGCTTTGTCTCATCTCATTTGCCAGAAAGAGCTTCAGGATCTTTACCCATTTGTTGCTTAACCTGTGGGTGCACTCCAGGATGCACTTTCCTTTAGACTGCTTACCTGCTTGCCTGCTGATCACTGACCCATTGGAATAGAGTGGACTATTCCATAAGCTGTGTTGGTTCTTTTGCCCACAAAGTCACCGTGAGTGTAAATGTAAAAAAAACTGGTAGATACCAGCTAAAATGGACACACCCAGTGCCAAGTGCAATGCCGTCCCCACTGTGCTCATGACGATTTATGGCTATTTCTCAAAATAAGAGCCCCGTAATCAGGTGTGCCTGAATCATTTTTACTTGCATCAGAATTCTGCACCTTGGGAGCCCCCATCCCACTTGAGTCACTAGAATCCCTGTCTTAGAATTATCCTTCTTTTGGGGCACCTGGGTGGCTCAGTCAGTTGGGTGTCCAACTCTCGGTTTCCACTCAGGTCATGATCTCACAGTTGTGGGATCGAGCCCCATGTCAGGCTCTGTGCTCAGTGTGGAGTCTGCTTCAGATTCTCTCCCTCTCTCCCTCTGCCCCTCTCCCTGCTCACATGCCCTCTTCTCTCTCTCTCTCTCTCTCTCAAATAAGTAACTAAATCTTCAAAAAGGAATCAACCTTCTTATCTCTAAACACCTGTCACCTGCTTTCCCAAAACCTTGAGTGTATTTCGGGATCACCCGGTGTCCTGTCCTTCCCCTGTGAATATAACATGGGACATGGGACAAGTCCCGGACTGCCCTGTGCCTCAGCCGCCTCATCTGCAGAATAGGGAGACCAAGATAGTGGTACCACACGCGGGGGTAGGAGGACTCAGAACAGTGCCTGGTACAAAGTGAGCCCTTAATGCATTAGATATTATGGTTATTAGTAATGACATTCTTAAAATCACATTATGAAGGATTCCTAATGGTCCTGAGACCTTTATGTCACAAGACATGCTTTGAGGCCTACAATTCGACCTACAAGAGAAATATCTCAAATATTTTGTGACTCTAAACGATGACCCAGGAACTGACAAAGCCCAAACACTTTTTGAAAGAAAAGTATAACCCATTGAAAACCTGCTTTTGTCAAACATCATTTTAGGCTTGTGTAAACATAGCTATCTCCTTTGAACCTCACAACCCATTTTTCCATGAGAGCCTTGTAAGGATCGCCCCTTTTACAGACTGGGAAATCAAGGCTCAGAGAGGCGAAGTAAGTTGCCCAGAGTCGCTCAGCCAGTAAATGAACAGGGACGGAGCAGGTTACCTGTCGTGTAATTTACTGCCCACGGACTCATTCCACAGGTGAGCACAGGCACGATTTCCCTGCGGGTGAAACAGGGAGGGGCAGTCTGCCTGGCCGCGTGGTCAGGTGGGACTGAAAGAAGTCAGAGAGCTTTTGTGGAGGGTTCAGCTCCCAGATCCTCCCCTTATTCCAGCCCATGGAAAGCAATGACCCTTTCTTTCTTGGGGTGAGTTATAAAAGCATCCTCTGACTTCACAGGGGGTCTGGGAGGAGGTCCCTTGAGCTCAGCAAGGGCACAGGCCGGAAAGATGATGAGGCCACTGCCGGCATGAATGAAAACACGGGGGGACGAGGGAGGAAGGCAGGCCCATCCCAACCCCAGCTCCCCCTGCAAACACCACATCCATTCAGACATCTAAGGACCGTCTTGTGGGCCCCGCGCTGCTCAGTGTCGGGGTTTGGGGGCGTGCTTTGGTCTGCCCTGTGCAAATAGGAATTGACACTTTCTCCGCAAATAAAATGACTCCCTTTTAAAAGGACTTGCTGTGAAAGGGCACGGTTCATTGGCTTGTCCTCTCTCGGCACCAGATGCCTTGGGTTTTAATCAGGAGGGTGGTGCCGGCTGCCAGGCCCCTGCACTGGGAGGGTGGGTGGCCCCGGGCAGCGGGAGAAGGCACCTGCTGCTGAATGAGGGGAGCCAGGACCACAAATGCCCCGGTCAGAGATAAAGCCGGATATTAGAGCAGTAAAAACAGATTTGATTCAGTAAGGGCTTACAGGAGGGAAAGAGCTACCGAGGGCGTTTTAAAGGAAGAACAAGGGAGGCGCAGAGAAGAGAGAAGTGGGGAAGTGACACATCACAAAGCGGGTGAGGGGGTGGGTCAGTGTCCCTGCAGTTGGGCCATCGGTGTTGAACGCCAGCTGGTCTTTATCAAGTCAGACTTCCCCTCCCTGCCCGGGCTGGGGGACAGGGGCCCTCCTTCATGAAGATTGCAATTGAGAGGAATGGCTTGCAGGTCCTTGAGAAAGACAGCCTTGGGTTTTAGGAGATACGTGTGCATCTCAAAGGGGCGGAGGAAGGATTCACAGGCATAAGCTTTTGATAGCAAAGGCTCTGTGAAAGGAAGGCCAGGTGCTGGCGGAAGAAACGCTAAGTTCTTTTGGAGGCCTTGAGTTTTTCCAGACAGAAACCCACGGTGGGTGCTGGGTCGTGCCAGCCGCGTGGCCTTGGGCCACTGGAGTTTGGGCAGGTGTCTGAGTGCCGGGGGCTTGGATGGTGTTGCCATGCCAAGAGCTTTTGCCCTTCTCGGTACAAAGCACCGCGGTGCGTGTGTCTCCTTGGGGCTCTGGGGTCCCGTTTCCTGCTTTAAGGCCGCAGAGGCTTCTCCAGCCTGCAGAGGCTCATTGCTCAGAGTCCCTGCTTATGGTTCTCATCGTGTGTGTCAGCAGTCGTGCCTGAAACCGAAGCTGGAAAAAGATAGGAAGGGGGGGCGGGGGCACTGGCTGGAAACCCCTTGGTCCTTGAGCAGGTGTCTTGTACTTTCTCCTCACCCCTCCCGAGATGGGCACCCCGAAAACGGGGATTCCCACTGGATTGCCATGGTGGCAGAGTGTGGAGGTCAGGTGACCCCGGGTGTCCTGACCTGAGCCTGACGCAGCCCACCACCCCGTCCCCCTCCCCCCGCAGAGACGGCCCCGCCCTGGACTGTCGCCGTGGTCCTGGCAGCCTCCGTGTGTGCCGCCTTCCTGCTGCTTGGCTGCTCCGCCCTGCTGTGGTGTTTGTACAAGAAGACTAAGCACGCCTTCTCCCCTGGGAACTGCCTGCCTCCGCACCTGAAAGAGGTAGGCCTAGGACGGGGCCCTGTGGACCCGAAGGCCCTGCCTGGGAGGGCTTCTCGCTTTAAATCAGGGCTGGCCCATCCCACGCGGCAGGCTTTCCTGGAGAGTGACAGCCGTCTGCGTGCGGATCCGTGCCCCGGGGCCCGCTCCAGGGATGCCCGTGGTCACAGATCAGCCGGCAGGGAGGAGGTAACCCGGACTTCGTTCCTTCTCCGACCTTCCCTCCCTGAAGCCCCGAGTCATCGGGGGCCCTCAGCTGGGGCCTCGAGGGCCTCCTTCCTGAAGGAGATCTGGGGGGCACACCTCAGCATCTGCTACCGTGCACCCCTTATACCACAGGGACCCACCGGAGCAGGGCCTCTGAGACTGACATTGCTCCTTCTTCCTGGGGAAAGTTACAAGAGGAAGGTTGATGGTACCAGCCCCAGCCCCTCCGCTTCAGCTGGTCTCCAGGACGCAAGAGACCCTCGTGGTCTCTCCTAGCCCCCTGCAGGCCCCTCTCCCCTTTCCTATGACTAGCTGCTGCCCATCTGATTGGGTGACCCAGGCCCTGCGCTCTGAGAAGTCTTGAGTCTCCGGTCACGGGCACCAGAGGTCTGGGCTGCCCTGCGTCTCCGCTCACCATCGGGATTGCGCAGGGGAGCCCATGAGTCACCCAATGACTCCTTTCCTTGCCAGCTAGGCTCTTGACATGAAGAGGGGGTGGCCTTAACTGAAAGTTTACCAGGACTCCTGCTGTGCGCACCCCGGGAGAAAGGCTCCTCCTCTGGGAACCCTCTAGACCAGCAGTCAGCAAACTCTCCCTTGAAGGGCCAGATAAAGCAAATATTTTAGGCCTTGGAGGCCAAGAGGCAAAACCAAGATATTATATAGGTACTTATACAACCACTTAAATGTAGTCATTTAAAACTCTTAAAACCATGCTGAATTCCTGGGCTTCACCATAGTGTGCTGACCCAGCTCTGGACTCACAGAGCCTAAAATGGCATGTGCAGGGGGCACCAAGTTCCCCGAGTGGGTCCCTGGGAGCGATGGTAAGCGGGGCCACTCCTGTGTCCACCCCATGGTTCCTGAACCCGTGCGTTCTAGGCGTTGAGGATGCTTCTGGTGGTTGCTGGCACTCTCGGGCATCCCAGGGCTTGTAGACACATCACCCCAATCCCTGCCTTCATCTTCCCATGACGTCCTCCGTGTGTGTGTCTGTGTCCACATTTCCTGTTCTTCTAAGGATACCAGCCATATTGGATTCGAGGCCCACCCGAAGGAGTTCATTTTACCTCGATTACCTCTGTAAAGATGCTGTCTCCAAAGAAGGTCACATTCTGAGGTGGCAACCCTGGGAGGGGCAGCAGAGCCCCTCCACTGGAGTTGACACTTGTTTGAGGAATGATTTGCCGTCCCTGTTCCACAGGGCCTTGGTCAGCACTGCTGAGGCCTAACTGGCCCAGGGCCCCGTGGCGGTCTCGGAGTTCATAAATGATACAAAGACACTTGGAACCACTCCCCTGAGTCCACACACAGGTCTCTCCCACAGACTTCCTCATCCCTGACCCTCCAGTCTCCCTTCTTCTGGGTTCCCTGACCACCGGCCTAGCCATTAACCTCTGCCTGTGAGTCCACGAGGAGCCCAATCTTGGGCCACTTTTCTTCCAACACAAGAGGACGACCAGATGCACGGCCCAGAGCTCTGCCCGGTGGAGGGCTTCCTCCTCTCCACTGCCATTCAGGGCCCCCTGGTTCAGCCCCTAGTGCTACCACGGGCCATTTTGGGTTTGCGCCTGCGTGCCGTGCCAACCTCCCCATGAACCACGTTTGACCTTTTTCTGCTCCCTCAGCTGCCCACCCCCCCCACCCCCCGTCGTCATGGTGTGAATAGAGACAGGTGCTGGTGCAGCAGGGGTGGACGGTGCGGGAGGCTGGGCCCCGTGCATATGCATCCTCTGACCTCATTGTAGGACCTGGTGGGTCCAACAGGCCTTGTGGTTGGTCACTTCTGGGAGGCCTGGTCTCTCAGTGTCAGAGTGCTGCAGGCTCTGTCTCTACCAGCTCCCTATAACATCTAGAAGCCGTTTTTCAAATAGGGCATAATTGTCTGCTGCGTGATGGCCTAGCCTGGCCCCCAAACTGTAGTGACCTGCATTGTGATTCTCCTTTTAGGATTTGCCAGACACTCCAGCATCTTTTCCCACCACAGACCCTTTCTTACCACAGACCTGCCATGTCACACAGCCAATTCACGTTCAACTGATGTGTCGTCCTTGGCCGATCATGCTGGGCCTTGGTAGCCCTGCACCAAGCAGCCATGGGATGTGCCTAGGGCACCCTGCTCCATGGCCCTGACCTTCTGCAGGGCCCTCTCCTGCCCTCGGCGCTGTCCTGTGTCCCTCTATAAATTATATTCCCAGGGGCAGAACATGCTGCCTTCAGACCCACAGAGGTCCACCTAGCATCCCGCTAGTTCTTAGTGGTGGGAGGGGTGAGATGTGATCATTGGTCCTTTACTTTGGAGAGGATGTCCAGCATGCCCTCCTCCATGGGAGCCCTGAAACTTCGCTGATACGGCAGGTCCCTGAATGTTCATCCAGGGGGTGTCCCCCGCTCTGAAGTGCGTGTGCCTAATCAAGGCCTTGCCACTTCTTTCCCTTCTGTCACCATAGCTGATGTCGGGCCTTGTCCCCAGACCACCCAGTCAGGGGCTATAGACTGCCCCCTGAGAAGGACATAGTCCCGCGGCCAAGCCAGGCCAGCCCCAGGGTTCCGAGGCTACGGCACCTCCACCATGAGGGCTGGTCTGGGCCACGCAGCATCCACGGTGGGTGGAAAGGGAGACACGTGACCGCAGGCAAGACCTTTTAACAAGAGGTGTTAACTGAGACTGCAGCACTAGAATGAACCAGGAAGTCTGTGAGCTCTGGAGGAACGGGAAGAACAAAGAGGGGCAGGCCCATTGTTCAGGGTAGAAAGTGTTTTGTTAAGTGGAGACCCAGCAGGAAGCAGAACTATTCACCTGCTCTTTCTGCTTCTGGCTCACCATCACAGACTGGTCAGACAGGAAAGGACAGATGGGACTGCGTGCTTCCAGGCAAATCAAAGCAGAGACGGGCGTAGGACAGGGGCCGTTGGAACAAGCCCCCCCTCCGAGGCTAGAAGACTTTGCAGACCAGCCTGCAGAGCCCGCCCCTGTGATTCATCTGAGAAATGCCGGCTGGTGCTGGAGAAGGGCGGGGCGAGGGGGGTGCAGTGAGGATGAAGGAGGTGCCAGGAAACTATGCAGACTGCGGTCATTGCATCATGAAATTCTCCAGCCCGATGCCTGATGTAAAGGTCCACTAACCATGGCCCAGAGAATAATCGCGAGTTCCGGGAGACTTAGTGGGGATGGAGACTTGGCGTTGAAGCCATGGGGAGGTTTATCCAATAGGATATATTGAGTTTCTGTGTGTGTCCCACCCGGAGACCAGCCCGATCCTTGCTTTCCTGAGGCTCACAGCACATTTTCCTCTGTTCTTTCCTGTCCCCTTTCCCTGGAGAATCAAGAATGGCTCTAGTCCATTCTTACGAATCCACTGGACCCGAGGGTTTGGGGAGGTTCCTCCTGCCCCCAGTGTCTTCCTTTGTGCAACAGAGATCTGGACATAATTCCTCTCCCCCCCCCCGCCCCCCACCTTCCATCAGCTGGTGGAGACCCAGGGGGTGGGAGGAAGAAATCCTGACAGGTCCACACCAGGGGCAGTACCGCTCCAGCAGCTTAAGTCCCATCAAGGGGCTGAGTGTGGAGATGACATTAAGAGGGCAGCGGACTGTCAGGGGTGAAGCTACAAGTCAACAGTGGAGGGGAGAGGGAAAGCTGTGGAGCCCGGAGACCGTCTCTACATCATCCTGAAGATCAGGAGCATTGGTGGAACTATGAGGAGGGAAAAGGGCAGACATGAAGTCAGCAGATGTTCCGGGAACCACACCTGGGCATCTTTCATGGTTCAAAGAGCGGGAGAGACCCAGATGGCTAGACTCGGGTTCCCGCCTTTAACCAGCCCCCATCCCCGGGGAGAGACAAACCCGAAGACAAGCCATGTCCATAAAATGCGCTAGACAGGGGCGCCTGGGTGGCTCAGTTGGTTAAGCGACTGCCTTCGGCTCAGGTCATGATCCCGGAGTCCCGGGATCGAGTCCCACGTCGGGCTCCCTGCTCAGCGGGGAGTCTGCCTCTCTCTCTGACCCTCCCCCCTCTCATGCTTTCTATCTCATTCTCTCTCTCAAATAAATAAATAAAATCTTAAAAAAAAAAAAATGCGCTAGACAGAAACATAGCACAAGCCACGTGTATTTTAAATTGGCTAATAGCCACGTTTTTTGAGGGTTTTTTTTAAGTAAAAAAGGGCAGATGAAATTAACATTAACAATATATTTTCTATAACCCGGTGTATACAAAATAATCATTTCAACACGTAATGAGTATTCTTTTTAATTTTTGAAACATTGACGTTCTTTTTTTCCTGCAAAGCCTTCGAAATCTGGTATTTCTCACAGCACAGGTTGATTCCGACTAGCAACGTTTCGGGTGGTGAGTAAGCCACCCGTGACACGTGGCTGCCGACTGGGCTGAAAGTGGGGACACACTGGGTCCTGGCGAGCCCCCGAAGAGGGCCCCTAACTCAGCCTGAGGACACGGCGGGAGGTTCTGCTTGTTATTCCAAGACACATTCATCCCGTGCCTGTGATGTGTTGCTTCCTAGAGGAGGTGACGCTCGGGCCAAGTCAGTGCCACAGCACTGGGATCGGTCTAAGAATAGCTCCCTTCCAGTTTAAGAGAAGAAGCCATCA